ACTTTTGCGGTTGAAGGTTTTTCATGACAATCTTCGTTATTGGCACTATCGCATACGAAACACTTTTGCCGATTTGGTGGATAAATCTATTGTAAATAATTTGTGTATAGCTTTAGTTTAAAGAATTTATTATTTATTTGTGATTTATAATTACCACATTATTACACTGATCTGAATTACAAAACAGGCAATCTTCACTGTCAATGCAATCAAGTATTTTCTCTCCTAAATTGCTCATACAACCACGAATATTAGTTCCATCTGTCACAACATTTTCAATTTGTTATTTTTCAATAAAATATTATATTTAAAAATACTTACCAACAACCTTAACATAACAGTTAGAATTTGGTAAAGTACAAACTTCGAGCTCCTTAAAACTTTCTGGTTCTGTAGCGCATTTTTCATCTTTACTTGAATCACATTTTACACACTTTTGATCTTTCGGGAGTTCTTCGTTGCAATCTGATCCTCTACAAAATGATACTTTATTATTGATTATTAAATTATTTCGAACTTCCGCCGATAATTCACTCATACAGCCAGCTTTTATAATTTCTTTGTTATCGCCATATAAATAGAAGCAATTATCGTTCTTTTTATATGATTCGCACTGTTTCAGTATTGGTGCTTTACATTCTTCATAACCCTGGCAAGTGTGACAACTAGACCAATTTCCAAATAACATTTTTGAATTACAATTGTTTGTTTCACAAACTTGACAATTCTCATTTTGGTTTGATTTACAATCAATTTGTTGTTGCGGTTCTTTATCGTCCAAACATGTTCTCATAACATTATATACTGGATCTTCCAAATCTTGGGTTTTTTTATAAGCCGCTGTCATACACGATTTATAACATTGTCTTATAGGGAACAAAATTCCTTCCTTCATTTCATTACACGATTTGTAATCTGGCCAACCACAGTAATGACATTTTACGTATTCTTTTTTACTATTTGCTATGTTACACTCATTTGATTTACATTGGGGGCATAACTCTGGATTTGTTTCACAATACAGTTTCCAATTTTTTCTGGCATTTTGAACATTTAGTATCGATGAACAACCTCTGTATTCTACTTTATCCTTCTCATCAAATACTGTTATACATTGGTCATTATTATTTCGGCATATTTCTGTACTACATAAATTTATACCATCGCAAAATTTACATTTTAAAGGTAAATCTTGCCACATACCAAGGTTTTTGTTAGACGAAGAAATAAATTTAAGATTAGCCTTATTACAATTTTCGCCGGAGCATATTTGGCATGAATGATAATCCAAACCTTCACAAGTTCCAATATCTGAAGAACAACCTCGTATTGTTACACCATCAATATATTTTACGACACATATATCATCTTTTTTGTAATGAAAACAAAGACCTTTTTTCTTTGGACTTTCGTGACAATTTTGATCTGTTGTTGAATTGCATACCAAACAGGACTTACGATCATTTGGAATTGCCTACAAATAAAATAATTAACGAACTACCAACTTTTGATACTGATTAAATCCAATGAATAAGTCATGAATCGTTGAGTGTACAATACAAACTAAAAAATTATTTTCAAGTTTTTTTCCATTACCACAAAATAAACAACGAGACAATGTTCGAGATTGGTACAATTAAACAACGAGGTAGTGAAAAAAAACTGGTATATTCGGAAGTTTCGGACAACCCACATTGCCAAAAATATAAGGAAACATTACTCATTAAATAAATTTTTTGTGTAATTAAATATTTTGAAGCTAATGTGAATTATTAAAATTTTAATAAGCAAATATTAAGTACTGATTAAAATAACTACTTCAAAATGACAATTTTTATATATTTAAAATACAGATTCGCAGATTCAAAGTACTTACATCAACATTACATTTAGTTGCAGCACATAATTTACAATTTGGATTAGTTTCATCCAGACATTTCACTTTTTCCTCTCGATCGAGATTACTCCAGCATCCTCTTTCAACTGTTCCTGTTAAGCTATGAATTTTCGTATAGCATTTTGTATTTGGTCGTTGATTACAGTAAGCAGTTTTTATAACGCTGTTGGTAGCATGTGTTATGCATTCTCTAGTATCGGTTGAAGTGCATTCAACGCATGTATTCGATTCTGGTTGCTCTTTATTACAGTCATCCCCATCACATATAAATAACTTATTGTCAAGTAGCATATCATTTATATTTTTTTTATTCAAATCACTTAAGCAACCAAATACACGTGATGTAGGCCAGAAATCATATCGAATCATACATTTGTCATTTTCTACCATATTTGCACAATATTTTGAGTTTTCGGGATACGGGTAACCGCAATATTTTCCTGTACAGTGAATGCAACGCAAACGGTGTTTAGGATAGACACCACCATTACAAAAATCTTTATCACACGCTTCACAAAAATTTTTATTATTGCAAATCTTTCGATCTGCCTCTTCCTTGTCATCTAAACAACTTCTAATTGTCTCAAATTTTGTTTTCTGATCATCAGCATATATGAGTGTTGACATGCAAGATCCACGGCATTCCTTTATTGGTACATCAGATTTATCGTTTACATCAACACAATTTGGATTATCAAATGTGGAACAATCATAACATTTAACAAATTCATCTTTAGAAGACGCTGCGTTACAATAATTGGATTTACATTCATAACATTTATTTGTCGAGTTGTTTTGACAATTTTGTATGTACTTTGAATAACAGCCCCGTTTTATAACCTTATTATTTTCATTGAATATTGTTAAACATGAATCAGTTGTTAGTGTACAAAGATCTAACATAGGATTGGTGCCCTTACAAGTAAATTCATCGTCGCATGTTAAACAACGTATAGGTAAATCTTGCCACTGACCCTCATTTAAACCTATTTAAAGTAAAATAAATTACAATTTCGCACTTTGTTTCAAAATTTTTGGAATTTCATTTTTACAAAAAAATTTTTCAACTTTTAAAATTTTAATTATTTAAATTTAATTATTAAACTCAACTTTACACATCGAAAATAATATTGAATCTATTAATAATAAGAATCTATTAAGCTTTAATGTTTTTTTATTCTAATTTTTTTTGCACGAACCATTTGATAGTTTTAAAGTTAATGTGAGAACGGTTGTAAGTATTAAATTTTGATAAAATTTCATTATAAGTTCGATGTAGGATTAGTAATATTAATTTTTTACTCGACTAATTTTAATGACTTGTTGTGTCAGCGAACAAAGTTTAACTGAGTAGAAAATTAAAATCAGATAAGTTTTATATTTAAATTATCTTTGACTAAAATGGTAGCGCAATATATATTTCTTTGATATTAGAGTTAACTTTCCGTAACATAAACACATATTTTCTTACATATATTCATAATATATACCTTCATAGTTATGCGATAAGGTAATATTTTATGTATAGAATAATTAAATGAATAGCAGCCATATTTCCTAAGTTACACGGGAAAATGTAATGAAAAATGTTTCCCAGGGTGGCGTACTAATCTCCCAAAAGGAAAATTCCCTTATTCGTTTTGTTCGTCTATGTCTATCCTAATATACCGGTTCGGGAGTATCGTCAAATTTCTAAACCACCTTCAACTCAGCTTGCTCGAATTAAAAATGGTGAAGAATAGTTAACTAGATTATTTGTTCAACGTTCAAAAGCTGAAAAATTAATCCTTTTTTATGACTCCATTAACATATCTGCACCAAATCTACAGCTTTCAAATCCTAAATTATGAAACTATGTGTACGAACATGATCGGAAATTCGCTTTATTCTAATAAATAATGTTTTAATATACAACTTTTATGAATACATTAGCTTATGCAATAACATATGTAAGGATAATCTTTCCATAGTTTTTCCGTTGAAAAGCATGAAATTGAAAAGCATTTTCGCTCATATGCTTTCAGGTTTGTTTTTTTTTACTAATTTACGCTACTAGTCAAAACCGATGAGCAATAATGGTAAAAAGAAAAATCCGTGTGACATATGTACTTATATGTAAATCGCAAGGTGCGTTATAACTATATGTTATTTTGTTTTGACACGAACTACTTTAGAAACATTTGATATTGGCAAAAATATTAGCATGCCTATCATGCCTTATCTGTAAATAATTTAGTAAATTGATGAAAAAGTAAAAATGTTATTTCAAATTGAATAATTAAAATTTATAAACTCGTAATCAACGTAAGAAAACCCAAAATGAAGAGAAATTAAAAGACTCGTGACCAAAAAGGCTTAATTTCTTTGAAAATTAATGAAAATGATTCACAACATATTTTAGTATTTTTGACAAACAAGAGTTTAGAATCACTATAATGTGGTATTACCGCGGTATAAATCAACATTTTTAACTTAAAATAATAATATTTTCATCAATGAACAACGTTATCTTTCTGAACAAAACACAACATAAACAACAATTATGTCAAACTTATTAGATAAAGCAGTGTCCAGTGTGATTTTGTCGAATTCCTGTTACTTATCCAATTCCAAAAATTAATTTTGATTTTTGACAGATTCTATGAAAAACGTCTGTAAATCACGGGCTATACATCTTGTCGTTCATATTGTCTTTGTCTCAACTACGTGAATTAATACCTTATACCCTATAAAACTTGCTGCAGCTTACAATATTATGCGCGTAGCAATAAAACTGAAATTCAAAAATGATTCGTAAGACTAAAATTTCACACAAATTTTCTCAACAAATTTGACATTTCCGAATTTCGATAATCTCTCAATTGCTTCTGCGTCTTTTTTATATCATTACTAAGAAAATGAATTGTATATCGTACAAAAATTTCAATTCGCAAACCTTTTAACAAAGGATTTCAAAATTTAAATTAAAAACCAAAAAAATTTTTTTTATCCATAAGCAATTTATGTCCAAGTACACCCAAGTAATCACAAAATCCTAAAATATGTAGATTAAGAATCACAATTTTATTATTATAAGGTTTCAACTCTATGTGGTACATGGGTAAAAAAGATTTTTCAATTAATATTAAAAATTAAATTACATAATTATTTTTATGACAAATAATTTCTTAACAAAACTAAAACGCCAATCAACATTGAATTAGCGACTATCGTGGCTGAATTATTCAGACCCTTCAAATCCATTGTGTTACAATTCTCATCGCTACATATTTGGCACTTTTTAACATCCTTCTCATCACATGTTAATTCATTACTACAGCCACGCTCCGTTTTTCCTTCGTCGTACTTACTAACGCATTTTTGATCTTTTAAATAAACTGGGCATACTTTTGCGGTTGAAGGTTTTTCATGACAATCTTCGTTATTGGCACTATCGCATACGAAACACTTTTGCCGATTTGGGGGATAAATCTATTGTAAATAATTTGTGTATAGCTTTAGTTTAAAGAATTTATTATTTATTTGTGATTTATAATTACCACATTATTACACTGATCTGAATTACAAAACAGGCAATCTTCACTGTCTATGCAATCAAGCATTTTCTCTCCTAAACTGCTCATACAACCACGAATATTAGTTCCATCTGTCACAACATTTTCAATTAGTTGTTCTTCAACGACATATTATATTAACAAATACTTACTAACAACCTTAACATAACAGTTAGAATTTGGTAAAGTACAGTTTTCGAGCTCCTTATAACTTTCTGGTTCTGTAGCACATTTTTCATCTTTACTTGAATCACATTTTACACACTTTTGATCTTTCGGGAGATCTTCGTTGCAATTTGATCCTCTACAAAATGATACTTTATTATTGATAATTAAGTTCTTTCGAACTTCTGCGGATAATTCACTCATACAGCCACCTTTTATAATTTCTTTGTTATCGCTATATAAATAAAAGCAATTATCGTTCTTTTTATATGATTCACACTGTTTCAGTAACGGTGTTTTGCATTCTTCAGAACCCTGGCAAGTGTGACAGCTAGACCAATTTCCAAATAACATTTTTGAATTACAATTGTTTGTTTCACAAACTTGACAATTCTCATTTTGGTTTGATTTACAATCAATTTGTTGTTGCGGTTCTTTATCGTCCAAACATGTTCTCATAACGTTATATACTGGATCTTCCAAATCTTGGGTTTTTTTATATGCTGCTGTCATACACGATTTATAACATTGTCTTGTAGGAAACAATATTTCTTCCTTCATTTCATTACACGATTTGTAATCTGGCCAACCACAATAATGACATTTTACGTAATCCCTTGTACTATTTGCTATATTACACTCATTTGATTTACATTGAGGGCAAAACTCCGGGTTTGTTTCACAATACAGTTTCCATTTTTTTTCGGTATATTCGTTATTAAGTATCGATGAACAACCACGATATTCCACTTTTCTGTCATCATTAAATATTGTTATACATTCATCATTATTATTTGGACACGTTGTTGTTTTAATTTCTGATAAATCTGAACAACGATATATACTTGTGCAATATTTACATTTTAATGGTAAATCTTGCCAAATACCGAGATTTTTGTTAGATAAAGAAATAAATTTAAGATTAGCCTTATTGCAATTTTCACCGGAGCATATTTGACATGAATAGTGATCTAAAGCATCACAGGTTCCAATATCTGAAGAACATCCACGTATTGTTACACCATCAACATATTTTACAATACATTTATCATCTTCTTTATAATTGAAGCATAGACCTTTTTTCTTTGGACTTTCATGACAATCTGGATCTGCTGTTGAGTTGCATGCTAAACAGGATTTACGATCATTTGGAATTGTCTGGAAGTAATGAAATTTGAAATATTTAAATTAATTTTGATCTGAATTTAAATTCGGATTTGAAAATTAGTTAGTGTAGCAATTTTTATTGTTTTAGTGTACTTGTATATAAATTTAATTATATACATAATAACACATTACACTTCAATATTGGCCAAAAATTATACCCAGAATTAAAGAGAGTTTTATTCATAAATGCTTTTTAAATTCTTGTCATGTTTTATAACATAAGCATATATTAGAATCATGTTTTATAAGAGAATACATTAGAATATACACTTACTTCATAGTTACAGTATTTTTCAGTACATAATTTGCAATTTTGATTGCTTTCATCAAGACATTTAGCCCTTTCTTCTTGATCGAGTCTAGCCCAGCATCCTCTTTCGACTGATCCTGTTAAACTATTAAATTTGGTGTAACATTTTTGGTTTGGCAATTCGTGACAAAAAACACCTCCAACAGCCCCACTATTTTTGACATCTGTTATACATTCTCTTATATTCGCTGATACACATTTATAACAAGTATTCCAATCTTCGGATAGTGCTGTATTACAATTAGTGCCATCACAAATGTGTAACGTATTATTAATTAACATATCATTAATATCCTCTTTATTCAAGTCACTTAAACAACCAAATTTTTTTATAATGCCAAAGCCACTATATTCAATCATGCATTTATCATTTTCTTCAATATTTTCACAAAATTTTGAGTAGTTTGGACCTGGATTTTTACAATGGCTTCCGCTACAATGAATACAACGTAAACGATGTTTAGGATACACACCACCATTACAAAAATCTTTATTACATGCTTCACAAAAATTTTTATCATTACATTTTTTTCGTTCTTCCTCATTTTTGTCATCCAAACAGCTTCTTATCGCTTGAAATTTAATTTTCTTATCATCGAGATATTTAAGTGTGGACATACAAGATTCGCGACATTCTCTTATCGGAACACTCGATACATCATTGACATCAGAACATTTTGGATTATCGAATGTTGTACAATTATAACATTTAATGTATTCATCTTTTGAGTATGCCTTATTACAAAGATCGGAGTTACATTCATAGCATTTATTTTTCGTATTATCTTGACAATATTTTATATAGCTTGAATAACAGCCACGTTTTATAACCTTATTATTTTCATTGAATATTGTTAAACATGAATCACTTATTTCCCAACAACGTTTGTCTATTTGGTTGTTTTTATTACAAGAAATCTCATCGTCACAAAAGAAACAAGTCAGTTTTTCTTCTCTCTGATCCCCGCTTTGATCCCCTGTTTCAAATGAAAAAACTAATTACTTTTATTTTATATTTTAAGCTTTTATGTTAAAATAGTTAAATAATGATTATTCATCCAACCATCTCAAAATGAAAACTTTTGAAAATAATTAACTTTGAATATTATTATAGGAATTTGCATCCCAATTTTACTTTTACACAAAATTTTCAAGGATTTATAAAAAATGAGAATCCTTGAATCGCCGAATATTAATTTATCGAAAAAATTCTTTAATAATTGAAAATTTTCATATATTAATTGGCTCGAATAACAAAAATTAAAATATTTTTAAAAAAATGTGCCTACTGTAAAAATAAAAACACAATATATTGGATTAAGTATTTAATACAAACCCTTAGATAGCGTTATAGCAAATGATAAAAAAATTGCCAATATTAAGCTTTGATATAATTTCATAATAAATTTTCTTTTTATTGAATTTCAACTATTATTATTACTTAAAGTGCCAAAGAGCACAATTTGACTAAATGGGAATTTTAAAGTAACAAATTTATATTAAAAATTAATAATAATCAAACAGATAATTAAAATCGATAGGAATAAAACTAATCAATACGTATATAAGTACATGTAGGTCTGTACATTTTTAAAATGATAAAGTCAACGAATTGCGAATTTTATGTAAAATATTGTATACACCAAGACCATTTTGTTGGCAAATAATTAAACGTAAATGAATGTAACATTAAGAAATACTTTAAAAATTAAGTGATTATTATACTTACTCTCGAAAAGTACCTGACTAGACGACCAAATTTACTTTTGCACGAATAATATTTTCCTTGAAATTATTATTCGTGCAAATTTCCTATCTCCTTTTATTTTTGAATTATCATCATTTAAATTTTAAAAATGTAATTTTTTGATTAATCATTTCCTCTGGAATAAGTGGTCCCACTGGTCACTGATAAATATTAACTAATTTGATTAAGAATCAAATTTAACTTTTTTTTTTTGCTATTCCATTAAACATTTTAAAATATCGACAAACAATGTAACCTTCAAAAATTAATTAATTGAATAGCGGTTGGATTTTTTAAAAAACCATCTCAATCTAGATTTGTAATGTGCAAATACAAGCTTTAGACTTAATTTCTAATTCTCTTAAAATATTATAGATCTAATGGAATAATTTTCTTATTACTATAAAATTTTGCATAAATATAGGAGAAACAGAAGTGATAGCTTTGACAAAATTTACCTACTTACATGCATAAAAATTAAATTGCATTGCAATATTATTTCATTAAGGTAAGGGTAAGTCACAATCCATGATAACACTGTAATTTAATTATAATTTAATAAAAGTTGGACAAAGCTTATGATGTCAGAGAATTATAGTATAATTACTTACAGGAAAATACTAGAAAAAAGGAAACAACTAAAGTAAATTTTTTTAACTATTGAAATTAGAAAACAATCTGAGTTGCCATCTAAAAGAAAAATTATTTCAAAAATTAGTGAAGAACCAGTTTGAATTAACGAATAATTTGAAGTATCAACTTAAAAACCCGACAACTGGTTGCAAATTTTTTATGATAAAAGAAATTGTTCTTAATATTATTACAGAGGAAATTTATTATATCGAATTTTCATTCTAATTTGGGAATCAAATGTCATTTTCTATCTTGAATAGCGTAAAATTTTAACGTATTAATACTGAACTTCTATTAGAAACAGTGATACCAAATTTCTTCATTTTGTTAAAATAAGATCTTCATTTCGAAGATTTGATAAAAAGCAAATTATAACGAACTCTTCGACATCTTCATTTGAAATTTAGTTGGAAAAAGTGGGAAGCAAAAATTTCACGACAACCAATTACAACCAAATCAGTCACCGAAAAGAAAAATTAAGGACATCCACAATCACGTATACATAAGACATCATCAAGTATGTACATATAGTTAATTCAGGTTGGAATTAATTACCTGTTAAATTGACTTCGGGTTAATTACCAGTTGGTTGGGCTTGGGGTTAATTACCTATATTAAATTGACTTTTTGGTCAAATTTGTTTTTGTATTTTGCACAAAAAATATGACCAAATATTTAAGAATTTTTTTGGACGTACCTAATTTTAGATAATAGTAATAGTTCCTTTTTATCTTATATTTTAAATTAATTAATCAAATTTATATTTTAATATGAAATCTATGTATTTATGTAAATAAAAATAAAATACACTTAATTATTAAATTAATTTAAACAGTTCTGTCTTAATTAACTATTTTAAAACGTTTTATGAAAATTTGTCAATTTATGATAAATAATTTCTTAATAAGGCTAAGAAAACAATTAAAATTGTATTGGCAACTATCATTGCAGAGCTATTCAATGATTTCAAATCGACGGTATTACAATTTTCCTTATCACATATTTGGCATTTTTTCTCATCCTTCTCATTACATGTTAATTGATTACTACAACCACGTTCTGTGTTTCCATCTTCTGTATATTTGCTAACACATTTTTGATCTTCGGAATAGACTGGACAGATTTTTGTAGTTGAAGGTTTTTCATGACAATCTTTATTGTCAGCGCTATTGCATACATAGCATTTACGCCGATTTGGTGGAAATACCTAATTAAATCAAAGGATTGAAATTTATAAATTAATATAAAATAAAATTTATATATATATATGTACAATATAATTTTATATGTATATATAATTTACCATATTATTACATTCCTCTCCATTACAATAATGGCAATTTACATCGTATACGCATTCAAGTATTTCTAATTTTAAAGAACTCATGCAACCACGAATATTAGCTCCATCTATAAAAATATTTTTGAAATTTTAATATGATTGTCTAATTATATACATATTTAGATATGAAATTATTTTCTAAATGATTAATTTTTAAAATTATTCATGGCAGTTTTATTTAAACTTGGTTAAAATTGTAATAAATGCGAATACATATAAAAAATTCGAATGGCTTACCTTCAAGTTTCATATAACAATTAGAGTTGGGTATTGAACAGGTTTCTAATTTTTCCTTATAACTTCCAGGTTCAGTTGCACATTTTTCATCCTCTTTTGAATTACATTTTACACATTTTTGATCTGTAGGTAAATTTTTATTGCAATCTGATCCGTCACAGAATGATATTTTGTTATCAGATATCCAACCTCTTATAATATCTTTTGATATATCACTCAAGCAACCACCCTTTATTGCTTCTTTATCATTATTAAATAAATAATAGCAACGTTCAATTTTTTGATATGATTCACATTGTTTTGATAATGGTCCTTTACATTGTTCAGAATTTTCACATGTAAAACAATTAGCCCAATTTTCAAATAAGATTTTTGAATTACAATTATCACCATCACATGATTTACAATATTCATCATTATTTGATTTACAATCATTTTGTTGTTGCGGTTCTTTATCATCTAAACATGTTCTGACAACATTATAAACAATATCAGCAGGATCTTCAAATTTTTTATATGCAGCTGTCATACATGATTTATGACATTCTCTTGTTGGGAATTTATTTTGTTCTTTAATATCAGCATTACATGACGTAGAATCTGGCCAACCACAATAATGACATTTTACATATTCTTTTTTACTATTTGCTATATTACATTCATTTGATTTACATAGTGGACATAATTCTGGTGTTGTGTCACAATAAATTTTCTTTGCTCTATCATTTGTTTCACTTAATATTGATGAACAGCCTCGATATTCTACTTTATCATTTTTATTAAATATTGTTACACATTCATCATTATTATTTTTACATACTTCTGTTGTAATTTTTTCCGATGATGCACATTCTGTTTCACTTTTACATAATTTACATTTTAATGGTAAATCTTGCCAAATTCCAATATTTTTGTCATCTCTTAAAATTGATTTCAAATTTTGTTTATTACAATTTTTACCTAAACATAATTTACAAGATTTGTTATCAAGATCTTTACAACTTTCAATATCCGCTGAACAGCCACGTTTTGTTTTTCCATCTATATATTTTGAAACACAGATATCATCTTTAATATAATTAAAACATAATTCATCTTTTTCTGGTTTATCATGACAATTTTCATCATTTGTTGAATCACACACCATACATGAGTGACGATCTTTCGGCATTATCTACAAAATAATAAAAATTGAATTTTTATTTCATTGCTCATTATTGTTTCTATTAATTTTAATTTATTAAATTAGTTATACATTATTAAAATTAAATCATAGCCTTAAAATAGGTTAATAACTTCCAACTTCTAGCACCAAAAATATATTTTCTAAAATATTGCAGAAATATGTAATTAGACAAATTTAAAGTTGTATTTAAATTAGTTAAAATTAAAAGCGAAAAAAAAAGATTAAAAAGGCTTAAAATCACGTGACGAAATTATGAATTAGATTGTATTTTATTACAATAATTTGGAAATCAATAACAAAATTAATCAGCCTATTTAAGGTTTGAATTTAAATATTTAAAACCTTAAATAGCCCGACAAAAATACTATTTTATAAGTAAACACATGTGTATTTTATAGCACAATAAACAATATATGTACATATATATATATATATATATATATATATATTTATATATACATATATGTATATACATGACCACTATAGTTATTTTAAATTATTTCTGATGAAAATTTAAAAACGTATAGAGAAACGCACCCGTTTTAATTTTCGATTAGATAATATGAATATGGTAACTATGCAGCAATTAAATTTCTTTATAACATTTTTTTTTGTATATTACAAAAACATATTATATTAATCATATAACATATAAGTTCAAATTTTAGACCATTAAACTTAATTAAAATATTCAATCTGACATAATTATAAGTATTTTACTTAAATACAATATTTTCGGCAACCATATTCTATGGTTTAAAGTGTTATTTAAAATGTTGATTTTAATCAGAGGAAAGTTAATTAAATTCCAAATTAAATTAATATAGCCCTTCCCTTACTTACTTCACAATTATTGTTTCGATTGTTTTTATAACAAATTAATAATATTTCTAGCAAATTTTACTCATATCAATATATGCATTTTACTTACATCTTTATTGCAGCTGTCCCCACTACATAATTTACAATTTTCATTGTTTTTATCAAGACAGGCCGCTTTTTCTTCACGATTTACAAGATCTGACCAACATCCTCTCTCAATTAATCCAGTTGAACTATTAAATTTTGTATAACAATTTGTATTTGGTGGTTTATTACATGTGTTAGTTTGAATAATATCATTATTAATATCTGTTATACATTCCCTTGTTTTACCTGATGTACACGCAGTACAAATTGTTTCTTTTGGTATATTTTCATATACATTACAGTTTTTATCATCACACATATATAATGTATTATTAATTAACATATCATTTATAACTTCTTTTGGTAAATCGCTTAAACAACCATATTCAATCGCAACACCTTTATCATCAAATTGAATAATACATTTATCATTTTCTTGTATATTAGCACATGTTCTTGATTTTGTCGGTCTCTGGCATTCCTCTTTCGAACAATGAATACATTCTAAACGATCTGCAGGATATAATCCACCATTGCATTTGTCTTCTTTACATGATTTACAAAATTTTTCATCATCACAAGTTTTTTGATCTTCTTTTTCTTTGTCATCTAAACATGTTCTAACCGCTTCATATGTTAAATTTCTATCATCAACATATATAAGTGTAGACATACATGATTCACGACATTCTATTATTGGAACATTTGATTTTTCAACAACATTAACACATTCTGGATTATCAAATGTTGAACAATCATAACATTTAATGAATTCAGTTTTTGATTTTGCTATATTACAGTCATTTGATTTACATTCGTAACATGAATTTTTTTTATCATCGCAACTAATTTTATTAGCTGAATAACAGCCACGTTTTATAACAATATCATTTTCATTAAATATAGTTAAACATGTATCCGTATTTAATTCACATGTATGATATTTTGGTTCAGTTTCTTTACAAGAATCTTCATCAGAACATGTTAAACAACGTATTGGTAAATCTTGAAATAGACCCTTATTTAAACCTATATTTAAAATATAAAAATATTTATATATTAATTTAATTTATTTACAATTTAATATACATACATTATTTTTATAAAATTATTATAAAATGATATGGCTTAATTCAAACTGCAATTTTGTATATTTGGAATGTCTTACAATTGTTACTTTTTTGCTCAAAATCAAATCTTTGTAGGCAATATTATTCGGTAAGCATATGACCGACCACAATTTTATATTTTCCACAAAATGTTTAACATTTTCTAAGAAATCAATTTATATTATTAAAAAATTTGTACAATTTGTTTTTCGTTAATTTCAATATTGGTTTGCGCGTTCCAGGGATTTTAACGAATTTTCACGAAATTTTCACATATCCAAGTTTTTTTGATTATAACTTCATTGCTGAAAAAGATAGGAACTTCATACAAATAGTTTCTGAAAGGCTTAGTAAAAGGCTTTTAATAGACATGCTGATGTACCTTTCGCAATACCAAGCATTCGAACTTTAGGGAAAATCAAATTTCTCGTTTGTTTTATTTTTTCAGTTTTTTCTAACTAGATAAGAACTCGTAAGAAGTTCTTTATAACTTTGAAATTTTTTTATAGAATTTTTCCCAGTTGCTTAAACTTTGATTTAAGTCCTTATATACTAAAAAACTTTTTATGGTACAGAAGATATAGTACACAAACCACAAATATTGTGAGCCACAAATTCAATTAAAATCAAACCAAATGTTGATAAAACTAAAATTAAATTCAATTTAATATTTCTTTATAAAAAAATTATACAAATTTCTCAAAACAAACTCTCCTATGAAATTTACAAAATTCGGCAAAAATTTGTGTTTTCTTATTTTCAAAACAATTTCTATTCAATCTCATATTTTAAATTATTTGCTTTACTGGAACATCTTTTTAGTTGTGTCAACCGTATTCCAATTTTAGTTTTTGTAGAAATATGTATGTTTAAGGTTTATTAATCCCATTAAATATTATTTTTTAATTATTTATTAGCTTCACAATGTAAATACCAAAAACTCCATTTTGTTCAAAAAAAATTAAATTTTCCTATTAAAAATAAAAATTTTTGTCTACTAAAATAAATGTCAAAATTTGTGTGGCATGTCTTTAAAAATTCGCTCCAGCTGGATAATTTTAATAACTTCAGATGACAAATGGTATCTAGATGTCGAAAATATTTTTTTCAAATTTTTAAATTGCACCTAATTTGAGAAAAATGCATTTAAAAATTTCAAACCATATAGGTACCATTTCTTATAAAAATTGGCAAAAATAAAAAACCTATTCATTTTTTTTACTAAGAAAAGTTTCGAAAAAAAATTTTTGATTACTAGATTTTTTTTTATTTTTCCTTATACAAAATTCTAGTTTTTCTTTTCAAAAATTTCAAATTTTTTAAAATCAATTTTTGTTTTTCAAATTAAAAGTTTCTATAAAATTTCGTTTCCATTTTATTATTACTTGTAAAATTTCAATAAAAACATTAAAATTCAGGCTTTTTATTAAAATAACGGCACTTAAAAATGCCAACTGTTTTTTCTAATGACTCTCGTTATCCAAAATTATTGATAGTTGATAGTTACAGCGTTTAATAAAAATCAAAAATAGTGAAAAATAGGGCTTTTAAAACCTTGACATAGAAATTGTTTTTATGTTTGAGGACTTAAATTAAAGTTTAAGAGGCTGGGCAAAATTAAAAAAAAAAAAACATCAAGTTTTCAAAAAATTTCTTACGAAATTATGTAGCTAGAAAAAACTAAAAAAAATCAAGAGAAAAATTTGATTTTCTCTAAAGATCGACTACTTGGTATTCCGAAGGTACATAAAATAGACCATTCTGAAACTGTTTGTTTGAAGTTCCTATTATTCTCAGCAACGAAGTTATAATTACAAAAACTTAGATAAGTAAAAATTTCGTGAAAATTCGTTAAAATCCCTGAAATTCGGAAGCCCTTGATATTTCGCATCTAGTCCGGAACAAAAATTTTACCCATTTTTGATATTCTAACCAATGATATTTGTTGTTGTACAACTGTGTATGTATGTGTCTTTATAAAATCCAAAGCGTGATCTTTTTATAGGATCAGATATTTGTATATCCTAAAGTTGATCAATTATCAGATCAACATATGAAACTTGAATATGAAAATTCTTGAAAATCAATTAGTCGTCCGGGCAGACAGACGGACCGACGGAAACAATAATTGACATATATCGTGCGAAAATACATACATAGTTTGTTTATATTTCTCTAGCATGTAGAATTGCATTAAGAATTCCATAATAAGTTTTGGATCGATTTAAGAGAAAAAATCAAGAATATTTCCAAGATAATAATACTAAAACAGTTTTCTATTGCATATATTCCCTCTTCATATGTTACTATAGCATATATACTCCCTCTTCAGTGTAAATATAACATTTTACATATTATATAATTGAAATATATTATTGCAATTATAACTTTTTAAATTCACACTTTTTTTTTAAATTAAAATGTATTTAATAATTTTTATTAAAATTTAATATTTGTAAATAATTTATATTATTGTGAATTTATTATGCAATTATTGAAAAACTTTTTTAAATAATTTATCTATAAAAATTACTGCTTTCAACATTCCAAATGATTATTCCAAATAATATTTCGAATTTTAATTTTAAAAAATTATAAATTATTATTAATATTAATTATTCCACAGGAAATTCTTGTTATTATGTTTTTATTAAATTAATTTTATTTAATTAATTTACATTAATTTTAAATTATTATTAAATTAAAAATATTTAATATTATATAAGTCGGTATACTAACCATTGACTATATTTAAACTTGCAAATGACAAAATTATTGTCAAAACTAAATTTTTATACAATTTCATTTTAATCATGCGAATTGTCGAATTCGACGGTCTAAAATTTTATAATTTTTATATTTATTTTTATATATATTTTGTTTTTAATTTTCTAGAACAACTAATAGTACGAACGATTAAAACTAAACTAAAATAAAGGATAAATAACATATAAGATTTATATTAAAATTATCAAAAAAAAATTAAATAAAATGATAATAATATTAAATATTTTAATATTTTATCATAATCCACTTTATGAATATATATAAATATATATATACATAAATATATTATGGGTCTAAATTATCAACCAATAGCACTTAAAAATCAATAATGATAAGCTGAACGTTGATTTTGATATCATTATTTACTTGTAACTAATTGAAAAATACAACGATATTGATCTGCATGTGTATACATATGGGCCCAAATACCCAGAGAGCAAGGAGAAAATTAATTTAAATTTTGATAATTATATAAATATTTTATATACTTAGAAAAAGTTCGACAAAAATAATTTCTTATATAGGCCATACATTAAAATTTAACTGTATAGAAATTTGAAATAAAAGACTATACAAAAATTATGACTTTTTCTATAGCCTTTTAAACTTTAATGTGGAAAACAAAAAAGAAGGTTTATAGAGACTCATATTAAATCATAATTTAATTGTAATTCTCGAATTAGAACTGTTAAGTTTATACAATCAGAACAAAATAGCGGAAGTACAATAAATCTTTTCCCAATAAAAAAGTAATCGTGAAGACATTTCTTCAAGGAATTTCAAATGATCTATAACATAAGGGTATTAATAAGGTTCATTGTAAAATATCGTGAATGGTATTATATTCATTTATACTTTAAAGATGAATTTAGTTTATTTCAACAAAGAATTTTTGAATACATATTTTATAAATAGTTTTTAAAATTTGATTAATATAATTTTATTTAATCATTGCTCTATTTATATTATTTATGCGAATTAACTTTTATAACACGGAATCAATGCAACTTGAATTAAAAATGGTAAAATAAGTAACGCCATTGTTATAGAAATTGATGAAGCGCCACCACCTCCTGGCTTCTCAGTTGGCTTATCAGTTGGTTTATCAGTTGGTTTATCAGTTGGTTTATCAGTTGGTTTATCAGTTGGTTTATCAGTTGGTTTATCAGTTGGTTTATCTGTTGGTTTCTCTGTTGGTGTATCAGTTGGTTTTTCAGTTGGTTTTTCAGTTGGTTTTTCAGTTGGTTTTTCAGTTGGTTTCTCAGTACCACTACCATCATCTAATATTTTTCCACCATTACAATTATCTATATCACCAGATAAACACAATACGCAATTGTTGTCATTTAAACATTCATTCTGTGACTTTGTACTACTACTGCATCCTCGAATCACAACATCATTTTCAGTAACTTTAGAATAACAATATGAATTGGAAGAAGATGAAATTGGACATCTTTGTGGCTCTAATTTTGATATATTGTTTTTACAATTTACATCCTTAAAAAAGGTAAATTAATAAATTTATTATAGATTTTTAAAGTAAATTGATTGATCAAAAAATTAAATTAAAATTACAATATTACATTAACATCCCAAAAGAAATTGAGCTAATGAGGTGTTATTGTGAATTATATCTAAATCGTTCTACAAATAGTAACGTCCAATAGAATACAGTGCAATAAAACTAAAAACCACTCAATTTTGAATTAATTTAGAAAAACTACTTTAAATTGATCTCATGCAATCATCAACTCGTGATAGGGACCGATATAAATTCAAAAATTATGCATAAATTTAACTTTTGCAATAAATTTAGTGAAAATTTTACTTCATTTGCTCTTATAATAACAGAATTATTTCCTTACTTAATACTTAATATTTAATCATTTAAATTATATAATTTATAACTTACATACATCTTTAGAATTACATTGTACACACTTATAATCACGTCTTCCCAATACATTGCATAAATCTTTATTACATTGATCGCATTCTATGTGATCAGGATCATTGCATTTTCTTCGTAAGTTTGATTCAATTTCTGAATAGCAGCCCCTCGCAACAATTTCAACTAAAAAAAATTCTTTTTAAATTATGCATAGTATTTTATTATTTAGCTACTAGCTTTTAAATTTAATACTTCATAAATTTAACTGTAAAAAGAATAAAATTAAATAAAAATTTTTAAAATCCGAGTGATATACCTACATCCTTCAAAAATTGTTATACAATCATCAATTGGATCTTTACATTTAACCGCAACATTTTTTGATGTTCTTAAACAATTAATACCCCGACAACTATAACAGGTTCTACCATCAGAAATTGCAGTTCCGATGCAGTTTAATATTATTAAAATAAAAATTTGATTTATCAATTTCATTTTTTTCAAATTTTGCTGTCTTGTAAAATTCAGGTGGTCCAACAATACGCCGTATAGTAAAACTTCTTGTTAAATAAAAAGAAATCAAGTTTTACTGGGCCTTTTATAAACTTTTGAATGACTTTTACTTTTGTAAAATGCAGTAGTACAATCAGTGCACTTAAATAATAAAAAAATTAATAAAAGTGTGTGTGTGTGTAATATTTACATTATTGAATAGCATCTTAATAGTTTCCCTTTTATTTAATTAACTTTGGTAAATATTGTTTTGTAATTTAAGTATTTGATTAGAATAAACAAAAAAACTGACCAATTGATGACGTATCCGATCTTATCAGTAATAATTTAAGTAAATTATGTAAATGTATACAATACAGGATGTGTCACTTATGGCTTATTAATCAAATAGTCATATGTTCTTTGCTGCCAACTCTACTGACAAATATAAAACTGTTACCACTTTCGAACTTTTTTTAATTTGATACTCTCTTAGAATTCATATTTCTAACTAAGAATTGTCAAAGTGGTTCTGTTCTCAATTTTTAAATTATCTGTTATTCAAACTCAATAGCTGATAAAATACTAACCACATTGCATACAAAAAGGAATTAAATGTGCTGCGATAGCACAACATTTCGTACACCGAGTTTTCGGTGGAAACACACTTGTCCATGGCATGAAAGTATAAATAAACTATTTTTAGCAAGATGTCGGTCTATCGATTTCTCGCTTTGTATGTATACGCATGTATCTCAAGTTTTTTTAGCTATGTCACGGTTTTATCAATTATTAGGGTATATAAGAGCTAGGGAAGTAGTCGTTTTCGGACTTAGAAAAAGAGCTAGGGTCCGAATTTACATTTTTGATTTTTGTGAAACTAATTGATGGAATTTCTTGAAATTTAATATTTGAGTTCTGGTTATTACCAAAGCAAACTGTCGAATTTGTCAGGAAGTTCGAATGCTACAAAGCCGTATCAACTTTGTGTTTGAACGCAAGTAAAGTTTAAGTCTTACTACTTCGTAAGTATTTTGCGATACAATAATATTAATTTGAAATTGGTATTTCTAGCAGGTATGGTAAGAACTTTTACAACTAGAACAAAATTCTATTAAAATAACAGTTTATTTTTTAACTGATGCAAAATTTGAGTATGTAGATTAGTTAGAATTTATACATATAGTTTTCGAAATATGACCAAATGTATGGGAGTTACTCGACAGGCTTCTTCAATCGAAACCAAATTAAATAAGGTTTTTACTATATGTATACACATAGCAATTTGTAAGAATTTAGTGTTATACAGACGAATTAGGTGATATGCAAAGATAAATGAACGCAGAATGCAACAGCAATCAGGTATAAATATGTATGTATGTATATACATATGTACATATATAAGTGTGTCTATTTCTTAGCATAGCAAAAGTATATTTTTAAATTTATAATAGCATTCAAACATTCTAAATTAAAGTCGAATATTTTACCACCTACTTTGTACTTTTGAGCATATTTTGACAATTTTATCGGTATTTTAATCTTCTAAGTTTCATTGAATCGCCGAATCGTCGTCTCAACTTATTTTGAGCGGTTTAGCTGAAGACTTTATTTTAAGAAGCTACTTTGTGATCAATTTGTAGTTTTTATTACATCCATTTTATGTTTGTCAAAAGAATTTTTTGGTGGAGTCTTAAGGCTTTATTGAATCGATTTTATAAATATTCCGCACTGTTCCCCTTGAAAACCTTTTGCTCTCAGTTAGAATTTTTTAAACTTTTAACATAATTTTTAATATGGCAAGGGAATTTCATTAATGGAAACCCGAATTTACTTATACTCTCATATTTTTAAGATAAATTTTAAAGTTAATAAGGTGTACATAGTTTATTTCAACAAAAAATTTTTTAATTTATTTTAAATTAACTCTTGTAGCACGGAATCAATGCAACTTGAATTAAAAATGGTAAAATAAGTAATGCCATTGTTAAAGAAATTGATGAAGCCCCACCACCTCCTGGCTTCTCAGTTGGTTTATCAGTTGGTTTCTCAGTACCACTACCATCATCTAATATTTTTCCACCATTACAATTATTTATATCACCAGATAAACACAATATGCAATTGTTGTCATTTAAACATTCATTCTGTGATTTTGTGCTGCTACTGCATCCTCGAATCACAACATCATTTTCAGTAACTTTAGAATAACAATATGAATTGGAAGAAGATGAAATTGGACATCTTTGTGGCTCTAATTTTGATATATTGTTTTTACAATTTACATCCTTAAAAAAGTTAAATTAATAAATTTATTATAGATTTTTAAAGTAATTTGAACGATCAAAAAATTAAATTAAAATTACAATATTACATTAACATCCCAAAAGAAATTGAGCTAATGAGGTGTTATTGTGAATTTAATCTAAATCGTCCTACAAATAGTAACGTCCAATAGATTGCAATAAAATTAAAAACCACTCAATTTTGTATTAATTTAGAAAAACTACTTTAAATAGATCTCATGCAATCATCAGCTCAAATTTAGTGAAAATTTTACTTCATTTGCTCTTATAATAACAAAATTATTTCCTTACTTAATATTTAATCGTTTAAATTATATAATTTATAACTTACATACATCTTTAGAATTACATTGTACACACTTATAATCACGCCTTCCAAATACATTGCATAAATCTTTATTACATTGATCGCATTCTATGTGATCAGGATCATTGCATTTTCTTCGTAAGTTTGATTCAATTTCTGAATAGCAGCCCCTCGCAACAATTTCAACTAAAAAAAATTCTTTTTAAATTATACATATTTTATTATTTAGCTACTAGCTTTTAAATTTAATACTTCATAAATTTAATTGTAAAAAGAATAAAATTAAATAAAAATTTTTAAAATCCGAGTGATATACCTACATCCTTCAAAAATTGTTATACAATTATCAATTGGATCTTTACATTTAACCGTAACATTTTTTGATGTTCTTAAACAATTAATACCCCGACAACTATAACAGGTTCTACCATCAGAAATTGCAGTTCCGATGCAGTTTAATATTATTAAAATAAAAATTTGATTTATCAATTTCATTTTTTTCAAATTTTGCTCTCTTGTAAAATTCAGGTGGTCCAACAATACGCCGTATAGTAAAACTTCTTGTTAAATAAAAAGAAATCAAGTTTTACTGGGTCTTTTATAAACTTTTGAATGACTTTGTTTTGTAAAATGCAGTAGCACAATCAGTGCACTTAAATAATAAAAAAATTAATAAAAGTGTGTGTGTGTGTAATATTTACATTATTGAATAGCTTCTCAATAGTTTCCCTTTTATTTAATTAACTTTGGTAAATATTGTTTTGTAATTTAAGTATTTGATTAGAATAAACAAAAAAACTGACAAATTGATGACGTATTCGATCTTATCAGTAATAATTTAAGTAAATTATGTAAATATATACAATACAGGATGTGTCATTTATGGTTTATTAACCAACTGAAACCATTTGTCTCTAACAAAACACGAAAACGGAAGACCTATTTCTGAACATCTGAGATTTAAAAACTTGGCGATCCTGTTTAGTTTCAACATAAAATTTTAAACTTCGGTTAAAAATAATATTTTGAAATAGAATTCAACTAATAAAGGCCGACGATTTTGAAAATTCACTTCTAAAGTTCTTACTTAGAACCAACTACTTTAAAATTTATTAAAAAAAAAAAAGTACCTTTTCAGCTGTCAAAAAAATATGTTTGAAAATGTAGTACATACAATCAGAAACGAAATTCAAATGGCTGTCATATTTTCTTTGCTGCCAAATGTGCCGACAAATACAAAACTACTACCCCTTTCGAACTTTTTTGAAATTGATACCGTCATAGATATTATATTTCTAACTAAGAACTGTCAAAGTAGTTCTATTCTTAATTTTTAAATTATCTGTTATTCAATCTCAATAGCTGCCAAATTAGGCTATTATTTTTTCTTTCTTCGCATTTCATATTAAAGCGCAAAATATTTTCGCAGAAAACATTCTGTGCTAGTTTTAGCTACTAACAAAAGGAAAAAAAAACTTAAGGTACAGATTACGACAACTTTATTTGTGTTATTTTATAAAAGTTTTTTTAAGCACTAATTATTATTTATAGCACAAACTTATTACGAAAACAGTTTAAATAATTAAAATTTTGTTTAATTTGTTATACTATTTGATTTAAAAACATAAAACATACTTTAATAAATCACTAAACGACTTATTCGTAAACATCTCAAAATTCTCAAAATTTCTAAAAATAATTTTGATTCAAATATAATAGGAGAAATGCTTTAGAAAATTTGTCACTATTTGCAACATATACGTTATTGCACTTACATTAGCAATTCAGCTTTGATTGCATCAAACGAACGTGCTCCCGCTTAGTGATGAAAATGTATATACATAATATGTGAAATTGTATTGTCATTTTTCATTAAAATGTCATTCTTAATTAAATTCTGTATTAAGCATTTTAAAATTGGCCTCAGATCTGTTGTTTTTAATTCATAAATTTTAATTTGAAGTGAAAGGATTACATATATTTTTCAAATTCTACTTTAAATTTGTTAATAGTATCAATAAATTGGTTTAGATCGAAGTGAAACTTACAAAATTAAACTTAAATTTGTGTAACCGTTCAAACCCTTTTGTTGATAATAAACGTGCTTTAAATTAAAATTTCTTTAGATATTCATACAAAACTCATTTCAAGGAACTTAAAAGTGGAAGTTCATCAAAGCGTATATACACTTTGATAACAAAACAAAATCTAAGTAAATATTAATGTGAATTCAATTAAATAAATAATGGCATAGTAAGTTTTCCTTGATATTAAATATCTATTGACAATTGAATTTTAATGTAAATATTTAAAACGAAAGTCTTGATTTTCTAGATAACGAAAAACTATATAAAACCTATAAATAATTTTAAATTAGTATTTTTTTTCTTTGCTTCAGTGAAATTTTATTTAATTTCGTTGTAATCCGTACTGACGTTATAAATTTTATTATGTCGTGCAAAACTTTAATTTGTTTAACATTCTTATTGGCAATATTTGCTGTTTGTTTAGCAGCAAAACCACCAAGAACATGTCACAGTTGTAGTGGATTAACTTGTTTAAGAACATCTTATGAAAAAACTGAACAATGTTTAGATTCATTAGATTTTTGTGTAACAATATTCGATAAATGTAAGTAAAAAATCATTTTAATAAATTATAAAAAAAAAAAATATTTAATAAATAAATTGAATAAAATTATAGCGCAAGTTATTCGACGTGGCTGCTATTTAAGTGTACCAGAAGAAGAACGCCGTAAATGTGATAAACGTGTTTCACCAGACTGTCACAAATGTAATGAAAATAAATGTAATACTTTAAATCGCGAAGATGTTTTATGTATTCAATGTGATTCTGATTCGGTAAATTTTCAATTTTAGAAAAAATTTTTAGAAATTTTCATTTTTGTTTTTGTAGAATCCCGATTGTAAATCGAATCCAAGTAAAATTACACCAACAAGATGTAATGTTCCATCAGGTGCCAATTCTTATTGTTATGTTAAATATGAAGACAAAAAAACAATTCGTGGCTGTTCAGTTAAAGTTGCCGAACAAAGAAATTGCTTAAATGACATTAAATGTATGTTATGTTTACCAAAAGATGTTGAAGGTTGTAATAGAGTTGAATTTGAACCAGGTTCAGCAAGATCATTGTTTATTTTTTAAAAATAAAATATATTAAATACAAAAATTATATTATTTGAAAATGTTGTTGGCAAAATGTAAAATATAAATAAAAAAATATTTATTTTAAAAATATTTTAATAGAAAATTTTCTGAGAAATTAAATTTGATTTAAATTACGTGTTACATAATACACAAAACTATATACCTACACGCTTGCAATACAATGATCCATACAAACATTTAGTTTTCTGGATTAATAAGGATTATTCGAAATAGCTTAATGTTTCATTCGTGGATCCATTGTCTCTAATTCATAATAGTTAAATTGATGGCTATTTGTATATTTGGGATAATATAATCAAATACTTAATTGTCTTACCTCAGCTATTAAAACTAATTTTAAAAAATTTATTCTATATAAAGATGAATTTATGAGATCCATAACTAAAACTGTTCTGTAAGGTCTTAAATTCAAATATACTACTATGGTATGTCATTTATCAAAACATCAAGTGGATTCAGATTAAATCACTTATATTTTTGACCATTTATTTTTATGAAAATTTCAAATTTAAATTTTTATGAAAAATTTTCAATTAAATTTATTAATAGGCCAAAAAATTTTAACAATTTGATATAAATTACACATGCAATATGAATGTTTTATATAAATTGTCAATTAATTAATTTTATTATAATTAGAATTATAAGAGCCATTAACAAATTAAATTTTGATTAGATATTGAATAAAAAAAAAAACAAGAAATTCTGTCACATACATACATACTTATATACGGATTTACTTATGTACTATATTTAGGTTTTTGTATAGACGTGATCTTTAAACTAACCAAAAACACAATTTAAAATTAATTTTAAGCGATAGAATTAATTAATCGTATAAGATTAAAATTTGTATAAAATTTTTTAATCTTATTGAATTATATTTTAAAATGAATTGATAAATTATGTATGTATATGTATATAAAAGTTTTGCGGTGTTTTATATCTACCTTAATACATTACTTAGACGACCAAAGTAATTAAAGAACTTTTAACTTGAGTGTTATGCCTTGATTAAATTTAAAAATTTGTTGGAGCTTCTGCAATAAAATTTACTCATCACGATGTACATACATAAAATTTTCTCTCCAAATATATGATATAGAAGAAAACTCTGCAAATTCTGTTACTTCAATTAAGTCATTTTAGTGTTCGAGTATTCTTAATATGTAAAATAAATCGACTTCTATTAAATTAAATTCATATTTAATTACAAACTATGTTAAACTGTTCTGACAATCATAAACTCAACACTTTATGGGTTATCAGAACATTTTTAAACGAATTTTAAGGAAAATTATAGTTAACTAGCGCCATGTACATACATACTTAATTCTGACGTCATCAAATTAATTATACTAATATCGTTTTTTATTTGAATAGCCGGTATTGAACCAAAAAATTTCTTTAATACTAATTAATGCTTTTACAAAATCATTTAATTAAACATGTACATATATACATATATAAGATAAAATAATGAAATATACTTATATTCGATGGAAATTTATAATATTTGCAAAAATAATATCAATACCTATACTTTGTATATAAATTATGATTTATGATTCCTTCCTACGACAACATATTTTACATAATACAAGAGCGTAGATAAATATATGTATGTGTGTATGTATGATTATATTTTGATAATAATATCGTATACATACATTATATCCGTTGATTTTTTTCCCCTCATAATATATGCATGAATATTGAAATTCTCATAAAGTTTTTGAATTACTAACTCTTTACGTCACATGTTAATCAGTTGCCTCTAGTTTTTCTTTGAGAAGCAGTTTGAAAAAATTAAATTTAGTTTGATTAAAAAATTTGACACGACAATATTATGCGAATCGTTCCCTAATACAATAAAAACCGGGAAGAAAAGAATTTTGTTGAGAACTAAAGTCGAAGAACTTTGCTTCAACTCTCTCAAAAAAAGGAGGCTAGTGCATTTTAAACAGAAGGCGAATGGCGAATCCAATACTTTCTTGTATCTTACTTCTTTAAAAATTTTCCTTTTCTTTTCATTTTTTTTTTTTTAGAAGATTAACCCAGAATTCCTATTGACAGCCTATACAATATTCAAAGCTCTTTTTTAACATTTTCACTATTTTGAGGAAATTTCATTTAATTTATACTTAAAATTTGGTTCATATTGAACAAATATGTAAGGGGGTTAAATATTGAGAGTTTTTGAAATCATATTTAGTGAAAAAATCATATTGATATGGTAAGACCATCAATATATTGTTAAATAATAAATTTTTAAGTGTACTACATACTTTATTTATTTATTTATTAACTATTTTTTTTTTAAATTAAAAAACAAACTTAGTTAATATTATATACATGAATGTATGTATAAATTTTATTGAACATGACCCACTTGAATTTCAAATTTTTATCTAATCATTAAATGAGTTTTCACTTTAAAACTTTATCACATTTCACTTGTTATTCAAATTTAACTATAATTTGGAAGTAAATTGGAGTTGTAAATTAATAATAATTTACTTACACAAACTTTAAGAAAAACCTAAGTTAAAAATTGAATTGTATTGGTGTATATATATTGAATATTTTCGAGAGAGACGAAATGTGCTGAAGAGAACTTTAAAATAGCAGAGCAAAAAAACTTGAATACCAACTATGCAGAAGATCTCTGGTTCTAAGATGATTGTTTTAGGCAAGTACGTTCCCGTTCCCAATATCTTCTGCACAAATTTGTTAGAAGCGGTATATAGGATAAGTGAAGCGGTATATAGCCTTCGTTTATCCTATATACCGCTTCCAACATATCTCGCTAACTTGGCAAATTTCAAGAGACAGTCTTATACTAACCCAGAACTGACTGTGCATTAAGCTTAGCACTCCGATAGAAAATCAAATACATACATGAATTTACAATTTTATGAAATATCTTAGAAAATAAATTATATTGTTATAATTTTAATAAAAATAATACGCCAATATTTTATTTTGTTGCTATTTACAAATAAACAATTAAATATTTTCTAGGAAAGTTTTGCAACCGACAAAGAATCTCTCATATAATATAAAAACAAACGTAAAATAATAATATCAAGTTTTAATCCGATCAAATCATATTTCTATTTCCTTTGTTTTATACGAAAATTCTAAAATTAATTAGTATTTTGAAGTAAATGAAATAAATAGTTAAAAATAACTTAACTAAATAATCTTGCTATTTTAAAAATAAATTTTAATCTATATCTTTCAACAATTGAATTTTATTAATTCCAATTAGGTTTCCGGGGAAACTACTTTCTACAATATATTTGTATGTATGTACGTAATTATAAAAAAATTAAAATTTATAAGAAAATGGTAGTAGCTTAAATTACAAATTTCCAAATATCGCTTCTAAATATTTCATATGTAATATGAAAGACAAGCTTTTTAAATACTTACCTGTTGTATGAATAACTATAGTAGAGACCTCTATCTTCCATGAACATCAAAACATCAAAAAAATTTCTGTTTTCATTTACATCAAACGTCGAAAATTTCATACTTAAATGAAATAGTAATTAAAAGTCCACCTTCCAAATCCTCCCATACGTTTCTTAATTTTATTTAATAAAAGTATATACAAAATATGTAATTATTCATAAAAATGAACTTAAATAACTCACAAATTAATTTTGTAATTATTATGTAATAAAATTTTGTAAATTAATTCAAACATTTTAATTATACTTACCGTTTTAAGTATATAGGCGTGTTTGTACTACAATCTATATGAAATCCATATAATTTTTAAATTAAACATAATGAAAAATTTAAAGTTATTCAAATTTTAATTATAATATTAAACTTAATAAACTAGTTTAATTGAATACTTTATGTAATTATAATTATATAGTGTGTATACAGAGATAAAATAGAACTACCAGTTATTATGTGAACAAGAGAATAAGTTGAAAAAAAAATTCTTGTCAACTTTCTTTCTTACATATATATTTCCAATGTATACCACTAGATTACATATAGTGTTTGTAGCATTTATGCAACTTATATTCATCATATAAATTTATATAAAATATATGCATATTGTTATTTAAAATATTAAATAAAATTGAAATAATCTAGAAAAGAATCTATCTAGTAAATTATAATAATACTAATAGCAATTTGCTAAATTCATGATGAAAATCTGCACATAACATTTTACCTACATTATAATATCACAATGTTATTAGTACATATTGTATGTATTTATCTGCACCCACAAAGCGTATTATGTTAACTCTAGAACATAAATCTTAAATTAAAATTACGTAAATAAAACCAATTCGTTAATAATAGAAACATGGTATATATATATAGAATCTTATGCCTTTTATGAACAATTTTTCGTTCTATCGAAAATATAGAAAGTTCACAGTGATCGATTCGCAAATTTGTTCAGAGGAAATGATATGATCTGAGCATTTTGAATAATTTCTGAAAATTATTCTATAAATAACAGAATTAAAAAGACAGAGAAAGATCCACTTAATATTCTGACGTTAGCATAAGACAAAATTATTAAACCAATAAAAAATTTTAATTTTACTAACATAATATATGTATGTATGTATGTATGAGCCAAAATGAAAATGCTGAAGATTCGCTAATTTCAGAACATATAGAATATGCTATACAAAATGGTGCTGCTACACAGAAGATAATTTTTGTAATAACACAAAAAACTACTTTTTTGAGAAGCGCTGCTGATTATTAAGTTTTTTAATTTAAAACAATTTTCTTTAGGCTAAAATGCATTTAATTTTTAATTAAGATGTTTTTCCTTGTAGCCGCAGATATTAGTATACCCGTTACTGTATAATATCATTTTCTATATTTTTATTTTTTTAACGTACAAAACTAAATGAAAAAATAGCTGAGAAGAATGTGCAATAAATTATGAGAACAACATTTTTGTTTTATTATATTTTTTGTTTAATAAATACTTATGTGTGTAGATTATATTCTCAGGATATTTTTATTTTTCAGTTATTTTTTCTATAATCTAGATAACAAGCCAATTTAATATGTATGTATACGAATTTATAAATTGTATACAAGTGTATTAAGAAAAAACTGTGTTCCATATTAACATCAAAATGTACCGAAATGCTATCATTATAAAATGGTAACAATATTATTATTTTGTTCTATTATTGCTCAATGTAGTGATATGTATGCCATCTCTGTATGCAGATGCGCATTACTTAATTATATACGTTCTTACATATTATTTTTTATATTAGACATACACAGTCGTCTTATTTATGTACGTATACACGTATAATACTGTGTAATAATTTAATTAACATTTCTATTGCTATTGCACAAATGTTAATATTATTATTTATTTTACAGTTTGTACATTTCGCTTTTTAGGAAAAAATCATGCGCATCAGCGTACTTTATACGGTTTTAATATATACGGAGTATGAAAATTTTTAAATTTTAAAATAATTTAATAGAATCGTCATCGTAATCTTTTTCAGTTTTATATTTTAATTACTACTCATTAATAGAAATGAAACGGCAAGTCTGTTCTGTTTTTCTGTCAAGAATTTTGGAAATCTAAAAGCAAAAATTAAATATTAAAACGGTTTTCACTTTTTAGTTTAAAATTAATAAGTAATATTAGCACAATCTGTTTATGGTTTTCGGCTATTAAAATTAAATAAAGAAAAGTATTTACAATTCAATGAAGCCTATTACAATATTACATTTGAATTATTTACTTGCAATTGCACATACATACATGTGTATATAAATGTACATATAATCCGATTGATGTGCTCATTATTTAAGATCTTATAAATTTTGAGTAAGAAGTGCTAAAGTTTTCAAAAAAAGTCATAGCATGTAGCAATTTCATATAATTATAGAAAAAATTTTGAAAAGCCCTACAGATTTCGTTCCAGGACCATTTTAAAACCTATCAACTCTTTGGCAAAAAAAACAATCCTGTGAAAGGCTGAAAGATTCTAAATAAAGTCGTGTGGCATATTATAGCAAAATACCTTGAAATGTTGTACAAGTTGAGAGCCTGAATTTTACAGAAAATACATCCAAAAATCATACTACGTGCAATGCAAGTGGACATTTCTTTTCATAGTACAAACTAATCATCATAAAAAATTGCAAAATATTAAAAGCAAAATTTATTTTATTACCGAGATGATTCGATCAAGATCAATAAGAGAACTATTTGAAACTGCGACACTGAACCATACATACATACATACATATCTATGCTTGATGTATCTGAACTCAATTAAAATTTATTATCAAGGTAATTAGGTTTAAAATAATCTAAGGCCAATTTGTAAAAATTAAGGAATTTCATTAAATTTTTGTTTCATATTCGCGTAACTAATTGTAATAATGTTAAAGAGTTGTAAATATTAATACCGTTGAGTTTAATTATGACCTATAACGTATTATACAATTTCACTTAAGCTTTCAAATAATGATACTTGTAGATAAACTAAGTAGGTGCCTACCTACTTGTTTACAATATTCTATACCAATATTATTTTTTAATGAAATCTTTTATTAGTTTATGATATGATTTTTATTGATTTTTATGATTATTCTGTAAAACTTTTATAACGCAAAATATTAGCCAAGACCACCATAATTGTTTTTATTTGCTTTGAATAAAAAATTCAAAATTATTGTTTTTATTAAACAAATCCATATTTTAAATAAAAAATCTAATTTGTGTTTCTTTCTTCATTTTTTTGTAGGGTGGTTTTCGATTGCAGTTGTTGGATCAACTGGATAGACCAGTTTTAGATTTAACACCACACGTTAATGGTTCGGAATTTGTAAGAACAGATGTCACGTAAGTTTGAATTTTAGTTTTATATTTATACATTTCCACTTTTTATTGGGGGTAATTAGCTTAAGGATAGAGTATAATTCAGCTGCTTCAAGTTTTCCTGATTAAATTTCACTTTTTTATGTTTGAAATTAAGCCCGTAAATTTTTTATTTTTAGGGCTCAATCATTTCCAGTTCACATACCATCTGATTTCACCTGTCCGAATTGTACATTAAGATTATTAAGACAAGCTGACGAATGGTCACAAGATTATAGATTTTGGTCTTGTGCCGATATTGATATAAAAGATAGAAAAGATTTCAAAGAAACTTGTATGGGTCAAGGAAAATATTTTCCATCAAGATGTAAATGTAATAAAAATTATTATGGCAGTAGATGCCAATATTATGATGAATGTTCAACAAATCAAGATTGTGGTCTTCAAGGACAATGTATCGATTTGAAAAGTACATCGTTACCAAGACGACAATGTTATTGTAATTTAGGTTGGTTCGGTCCGAATTGTAATAAAAAATCACCAATTAAATCAACGGATATTGATATGAGTGTGTATTCGAAAAAAGAACTTTCACCAGATTTTCATTTATATTGGAGAATAATAGAAGATCAAAAGGAAATTGAAATGGTAATGAAAGTTAATAGTACGTCATGGGTTGCAGTTGGTTGGAGACCTCGAACTCTCACTAATATATGTAAAAATTTCCCATTGATTAAAAATTTGGATGATACAAAAACTTCATTAAATTTAAAATATCAAACTAATAATGAACCAGAGCCAAATGCTGAACCTGAACCAAAATCAGAACCTGAACCAACATCAGAGCCTGAGCCAAAATCTGAACCAGAACCAAAATCAGAACCCGAACCTAATGCTGAACCAGAACCTAAATCTGAGCCAGAACCAACCTCAGAACCTGAACCAAAATCAGAACCAGAACCATCAGCAGAACCAGAACCTAGTACAGAACCGGAACCAAGTTCAGCTAAATTTAAAAGAGTGGCAAGTCATAATGATGATGCAACACCAAAAGATGGTCTTACCGTAGCTACAAGTGTCTCTTATCGAGTTAGCGCAAAAACTGGCCGTAAAAGGCGAGAAACCGTCACTGAAGGTAATAACGTTGTTAAATTGTTTTTATGTACCTACATAATATTTTTAATTTCTTATATTTAAAGTACGTATGTACATATATACATACACAATATATATTGTGCACATTTCAAATATTTTCGCACTACAATTAATTTTTACATATAGTTTGGGTATAAGTTACGATTTATCGATTTCGTTATATGATTTTAAAATTAAAGAGTTTGGTGTATTTTAATTGATTTTTACATGCATATTTATTATTATAAATTAGTAGATAGATATTTACAAAAAATTTTAATAATTTTTTCTAAATCCACGAACAATATAATGTAAATATAATATTCCTTAAATATACCAGTGTAATATACACCAGAGCAAGCGTTTAAATAACGACTTTACGATGACAATTAATTAAGCGAAAAGCCTAAGAAATTTTAAAATTTAACTTAATTCCGCATTATTCTTATTCACTCATATATTTAAATTAAATTATTAAACTAAGTTTTCTTTACATACAAATATAAAACTATATATTATAAATTATAGGAATGTATTTAATTTTATGTATTTAAAATTTTTATAAAATCACAGTAAATTTTGCACATTAAAAACATTAAAAACACATTATTTAGGATCTGAACCAAAACCTGAGCCGGAACCAAAATCAGAACCAGAACCAACATCTGAACCAGAACCTAAATCTGAACCTGAACCAACATCGGAACCAGAACCAAAATCTGAGCCAGAACCTAAATCAGAACCTGAACCAAAATCCGAACCGGAACCAACATCAGAACCAGAACCGAAGTCAGAACCCGAACCGAAATCTGAACCAGAGCCATCATCAGAACCAGAACCATCATCTGAACCAGAACCAAATGCTGAACCAGAACCAAAACCTGAATCGGAATCCAATTTGAATGAATTTTTACCAAAAACATTTACAAAGAGTGGTACGTTTGAATTAAACAAAATCTAAAAACAAAAAAAAAGAAAACATTTTATTCAGCAGTTCATTCGAAAATAAATGCATATAACATCTATTTACATATATTGTTAAAAAATTGCATAAAGATACTCTTATAGAATTTTCATTTAATTTAATATTTATAAAATATTTAATTTTTTAGATAATCCATTAATTTAATGTAGCATTGCACTAATAGGCACTATATTATTTCTACCCTATTTTACTCTTATTTTAATTTGGGATATAAAAAAAATAATGTAGTAAAAAACAACAGCTGGAAAGGCTGCATATATTACTTTTAAATTTATTTACAACTTTTTTTCATGTTCATTTAAATTGATTTTTTATTTTTTTTAGATCATAACAAACCAAATTTAAATCCATATACACCACGTCATGATTTCAATCCAATGGATTGTACTGACATTGTAATTGGTAGTGCTCGTGGCTTAACAAGTCGTGTCGGTGATTATTATACTCGTGATAGATCAACCCCACAACATGATGAATTTTATGGCGGAAAATCAGATTTAACGTTAGGTACCGGTTTTGAAGAGAACGGTGTTACAACAATTATTTTCCGCAAAAAATTAGAATCAAATGAATTGACTGATCATAGTTTGATTGATGATTTGACACATGTTATATGGGCTAAAGGACAAGAATTAACTAGATATGTACATAGACCACCATCAGGTTTAGAAAAAGAAATTTCTTCTGTACCTAATTTCTATCAGCCAGATGAATTAAAATATCATGGTCATAATATGCAAAGAGGTGCAACACAAATAAATTTCTTTGGTAAGAAACTAAAGTTTTATAATTTTTAAAAGTATTATTTGTAAATAAATATTATTTTAGATAAGAAAACTAAAGATGTTGAAGAGACAGCTGGTGGAAATATTATTGATAATGAATGTTTCGGTCATTGGAAACATCCAAGAACTTGTACAGTTGAAGAACATAATTGTGATTATTATGTTCGTTGGGAAACAATTGGTAAAGGAAATGAAATGAGATGGTATATTGAAACATCAAGTATACAAACATGGACTGGTATCGGTTTTAGTAATGATGATAAAATGTCACAAACTGACGCAATAATTGGTTGGGTTGATCCGAAAACTGGTAGACCATTTTTAATGGATACATGGATTAATGGTTATTCTGCACCCAGATTAGATGATAGTCAAGATACATATAATGCATCTGGTCGTATTGAAAAAGGAGTAACAATATTAGAGTTTACTAGAAAGAGAGTTAGTGGTGATGAAAAGGTAAAAATTATCGAAAGTTATTTGCATATTTTAAATTACATTTGTATTTTTATTTTTATAAAGGATCTTTCATTTACTGAAGATCAGTGTTTATATTTAATGTTTCCTGTCGTTGGTGGTGCATTTAATGCTGTTAGTAAAAAAATTCGTAAACATGAACAAATTCCATTAGTCACATCAAATAAAGTATGCATTAAATCATGTGGTAAACGTAAGTAAAAGCAAAACAAAAATATTTTATATATAAAAACTATCAAAACAATTTCTTTTATAATTTTAGATTTAGAAACATTATTAATTGAATCTCAAGCTCCGGTACCAAATCGATTAGTTTATGCTGCTGGTGTAAGATTAATGAATTTAGGTGAAAGTTTTGAAACCCCAAGAAAAGGAACTGTTGAATTTGATGTACTTGCTAGTACAATATCAGATTCATTTGAAAGAGTTTTAAATAATATTTCTGGATATAATAAAATTGACGTTGTAGATTTCCAAAAGTAAATTAGAATTTCTTATAACTAATATAAATTTTACAATTTAATAATTTTTTTTCAATGTTTTATCGATATTTTTTTAGGGAAGGAACAAATTCAATGATTGCTAAAATTAATATACTCTTAGATAAGGAACTTTATGAAAAATCTAGAAAATTAAAATTAGAACCAGTTTCAAATAATCTAGATTCAAATGATGATATGGAAAAAGATGAAGATGGTGGTTTAATTATAAAAAGGGCATTAAGAGATAGTATTGCAACAGGAAAAGTTGGCTCATTAACAGTTGACCCACAATATCTCGATTTTGAGGCTTTAGAATGTAAATTTATAATTTTTTAATATTAATATAACCCATAGTTCTCCACCATAATTAATAGTTCTGCAACAAAAAGTAATACTAATTATTTTATATTATTAAACATTTTTTTTTGTAGACAAAACTTCAAATAATGACGGATCGTTTGCATCATTCTTTCAATTATCAGAAGTAAGATTATATACTGTTTTAGGATGCATAGTTGCATTAGTAATAATTGCAATAATACAAGCAGCTTGTACAATTTATAAAACATCAAGAAAAAGTAGAAATCAAAAGGTAATCAAATATTATAAAATTTTCTACATTAGTTTACTTAAAAACCTTTTAGAATATTTATAATTATTGTGCTATAGAATTTAATGTTTCGTACAATATGTAGAAATATTTTTTTATTTGAAATTCCACATTGCATCGATAATATTTGTTATAAATTTTTATTAGTAGATTTAATACGTAATTTCGGATTGTTTAATTTTATCAGTAGACTTATTTCGAAAATTTTAATTCCGAAAAAAGCTCATAAAATTTAGAATCTCGAATCGATTTTAAAGATTTTTTTTTTTTTTTTTTTTTTTTATACGTGCGCAAATGTACTTGTTACGGATTATCTTGAACGTGGTACTCGTATATCACGATTTGCTCAGAAAATTTCACTATATTTGTATTCATAAACAAAAGTTACAAACCTAATTTGTTTAAAAACATGACTACTTTTTCGTAGTATATCGAAATAAGTATGAGTAGTGCAGTTAAATCATATGAACTGTTTTGATTTTATAGATTATTTAAAAATATAGTGTATATTCATTACGTTATGCTTTTGCAGTATTGCAATAAATATTTTTTTTAGTACTGCGTTTAGGAAAATCTCTATTATACTTTATAAATAACTCTTTAATTTTTTTGTAATTCAAAATTTATTTTTATTAATTTATTAATTAATAATATAATATTAAATATTGTATTAATTTATTAATAAAATGAAATTTAATGAACGCTTCATTGTAATAAACTTCACATTATAGCAAAATTATTTGTTTCCCAGAATAGTATTTTATTTTAAATATTTTCATAAAAAAAAAATTTAAATTATTTAAAATATTATCTATATTTACATATGTACATCTAATATCTGTATCTAATATTTTTTTTTTTTTGAATTAATATTCACTAAATTTCTCTCTTTTTTTTTTATTATTTTTGTTATTTGTAATATTTTTAATACTATATGTATATACCAAAGTTAATTTATATAATACCGGATGAATGGAGAAGTTATCATCAGCATCATCGTTATCATCCATCAAGTGTTTTGTGAAAATAAAAAAGAAATTTAATATATTTTTTTTTTCATATAATATTAAAAATTTTTTGAATAGAAACCAAATAATAAATTAATAAAATACAACAAATTACAAATATTAAAAAATTAAGTACATACAACAAAATTTATACATTTTCATAAATAATTAAATGTTTAAAAATAATTAATGTTTAAAATTGTTGAAAATTTTATAAATACAAATTAGATTTGTTACGTTAATTCCTTATTGTTATAGAGAAAGCCAGTTAAAATAATAAAACAAAAGTATTTTCTCGTTTTATTTAAATTTAAAATATAAATATAATTGTTAATAATTATGTAATTGTTTTATAAAACAAGCCAGTTAAAAAAAAAAAATTTTAAAAATATTATTTAGAATTAAATAAAATTATATTTACACCTACATATATACATAATCTATTCTTACAATAATGATAATATAGTTTTAAATAAAATTTAGTATATAACTGTTATATTGAAACCAAGTTCTCAAAAATAATAAAAAATTAAATTCAATTTAATATTAAAACTAACAAAAATTTTAAAATATAATAAGTAAATAATTTTTAACTACATACATACATATGTATATAATATATGTGTTACATTTTTGTAAATGTATTAATAATGTTTTCTCATATTATAGTGAATTAAAACACAAAGTATAAACAAAATGAAAGCCTATAATTTTTAGATCTCCTATAATATTTTGATAATTTCAAAAAAACAAAAAGTTTTTGGTGTATTAGGAATAAAAAAAAAAAATTGTTTTTTTGGTCTTATTTTATTTAGTAACGTCCTACTTTCATTGGTAATTAATTTATTATTTTATTTAATTTCAAAATATTTTAACATTTGTTTAACTTAAACTCTAACAACCAGTCAGCATCGTTTATGCCCTTCTCTTGATTTTTTTTTTTTTTTTGGTTTCTATATACAACATTCAATTACTTTTATATTTATATACATAAACATATTTTCTTTATTTCATTATGGTGTTGGTAAAAAAAAAATAATATATTAAATTTATAATTTGAAATTTTATTTTTGAAAATTTTATTTTTAAAGTTAACATTTTTTATTCATAAAATACACAATTTTTTAAGCTAATTATATAGTTAATCAATTATATATGGTTTTTGAAACAAAACAAACAATTTAAAAAAAAGACACTTATTTAAAATTATTGAAAATTATTGGAAAAATTATTAATTTTCTATAAAACACAAAAAATACAACTGACTCTTCTCTTGATACTTTTCATTCGAAAGTTTCTCTTTAATTTTCAGAACAATTCTGTGAAAGTTTCCATTGTAGTTTTGTTGTACTTTAAAATTTGATCCAACATTCTGAATGTGAATAAACTATGTATTAAAATTAATAACTTTAAAATGTATTATTATTATTGTACTTAAATATGGTTTAAACAGTTAAAATTTAATTTAGGCAAAATTTTTTAAATTCAGTAAAACCTGTAAGGAGTGGAATCGCAAGGCACCGAAGCTTTTCTTACGATATAAAAAGCTTTTATAAAATAAACTAAAACTAAAAATTTTCTAAATTTTCCAGCCTTTACACTCAAGTGAAGTCAAGAGTACAATTTTAAGTTATTCTCGTCATAAAAAAATAAATAAAAAGAAAAATGACAATTTTTTTTTTTCCAATTTCGAAATAGTTTTTTACACATATTTTTATTTAAAAAGATATTTCCATTTGCTCAAACAAAATTATAATATTTTAAGGTAAAAAAATCAATTCCGAAATTGCCGATTTCAAAATGGTCAAAACATTTAAATTCTTCTAAATTTGCTATAAAACTTTTGCGGTATTCGCTTTTGCTCAGCTTTTCCGCCTATTCAGTACAAGATACCATCACACGAATTTTAACTTCGCATTTTCTTCGATAATGCTAGGCTTTCGTGTCTCACAGGATACAGCTTTAACAGGTTTTGCTAATAATCTACAAATTTTTTCAAAGGCTAAATTGTTTAATCAAGAAATTTTAGTTGGTAAAAAGGAAAGGGTAAACAAGATAATCGAGCTACATAATTATTATATATTCACATACATGTTTATATTTCTAATTGTTACAATATCTAATTTGACAATCCGAAAATTGTAAAATAACGTCTTATTTCTTTCCCGCCTACAACATAATTGAAAACAAAATCAAAGTTATTTTCTTCATAAAAAAAAAGTAAATAGCTATTAACAATTATTTAATTTGTTTTAAAAATATCTTTAATATTATTTTTTTTTCCTATATAAAAGTTTCTCTATAAATCACATTTCCTTTATTTTTTTTTTTTGACATCATTGCTTTTTTAATTAAGTATAAATTTATAGAAAAAACAACATATTTAGTATCAAAACGTTCATGAAATGCTGATCTGGTTAAAAAAAAATTTATGAAATTTCCAAATTTTTATAAAATTTTACAATATTTTGCTTTTAATTATTTTAATTTAATTTATTTTTTTATTTATATTTAATTAATTCTATTATTTTTTAACTTAATTTTTTAACTTAATTTTAATTTCACTATTATATTTTACTTCTAAAATACAATATTATTCTAATAATATAAATTTGGTTTTTATTCAATTTATTTTTAATAAAGAAGAAAAAAAAATAAGTACAAGAAAAATTTAAATAAAAGTATATTTAAAATATACATATACATTATATATGTATACAACATATATATATATTATTATTAATTTTAAATATATGTTTTGCAAACTTCATTCATTATTCATTATTTCACCATATCAATTAAAAAACGCAAAAAAAAAAAAAATTATAATTAAAAAAAATTTCATATTTTCAATTTACTACAAGCAAATAATGCTGACTGGTATATTTTTTTTTTTTATAATAAAAATTTATTTCAATAATTAAATTTTTAATAATTATTTTTAATTATCTTTTTTAGGATCAATTAATACCAAATTCAGCATGGAAAGATTATTCATCAAATACAAATTATGCATTTGATGCATTTGCTGAAACTGAAGAAAAAAATGGTATTGGTGGTGGTAGTGGCGGTGTTATCGGTATTAATAAATCATCAAAATCATCGAGAAATCGTGATTCACAAAGTCAACAAACAACATTACCAATGTCACATTCACCAACATCAAAATCACAACAACAATATTATACTGAAAATGGAAGTACAAATGGTGGTACAAATGGTAATATGATGAGTGGTGGTAGTGGTAATAGACAACATCATCATATATCACGTTATGAAAATGGTATGAATTCATCAGTACATGATAATCATTATAGTAATCGTCATCCAAGTGGTGATCCATATTATAATCAATATACTAGATCATCATATGCTGATAGAGCATATTCTTTACCAAGAACATCAGTACAACCATCACATCATCAGAATCCAATACAACAACAAGGTTATTATACACAAGATCGTAGAAATCGTAATAATAGTTATTCACATCAAAATGAATATCGTACAACAAATGATAATACAAGAGATCGTAGTAATGATAGACGTTATCATCATGATAGAAGTCATTCAAAAGCCAGTTCAGCTGGTACTGATACACCAGATTTTTATTTTATGCCATCACAAAGAAAATATTCTGGTGAAGTGGTGCGAGTTTATGTTGACTATAATAAAGATCCAAAACATTAAAATTGGAATTTAAAAAAAAGAAAAAAAATTTAATATTTCAAAATTGTTTTTTTTTTTTTTTTATTTTAATAATTAATTTTTAAATTTTTTTTTTTTTTAGCTTTTGTTTTATAGTTTATTTGATTTTATTTTCATTTTTTTTAGTGCAATAAAATTTAAAATCTATAAAATATTAAATTAAAATACAAAATGGTGTTTTAAAAATGAATACATTTGTAATTAATTTAAATTAATTTAAAAAAATTAATGAAACTGATAATTAAATTTAATAATGAAAAATGTATTCAAAGAGTGTTTTTCATAGTCATTTTATTTTTTATCTTTTTTCTTTTTTTTTGTAATATTTTTATTTTTATGTAAGATTTTGTTTTAAATCATGTAAAAGTTTTATATTAAATAAGTGTATTATGAATTAAATTAGGTAAATTTTATCATTTTATATTTTAAATATCAATAATTTAAAATTTAATTTAATAAAAATAGAACATTTTTATTTTTTCGAAACATTTTGATTTGAAAATATTAAACGTTTAATAAAAATTTAAATATTATTAATAAAAAAAAATGTTTAAATTTCGGACAATAGAACTTTTGTAACATAGAATATTGAGAGCTAGATACCGTGACTTCAATAATTCGCTTACGACGTAAATTTTACAAAGTATTAAATTCCAAAAAGTTTAGTAAAAGCTCTTGACATTGTACACTTTTTCTAAATGCATTTTATACGTAGTCGAAACGTAAAATAAAAGTAAATCGGGTATTGAAAAAATCGAGCACACTTTTTTTATACATGTCATAAAAATTTTTTCCAGAAATAACCAATTAAATAAACAAGCATATATTTTCAGCAATATAGTGCTAGTTATTTAGTTTTTTTCCTAAATGCAGCATAAAAATGCTATATTTTTAATGATGTGGTAACTTTTTTGTTAAAAATTAATATTTGCACAGAACTTTATATTGAAATATTCAAACAAACGTCAGTATATTGTAATAATTGTATTCCAAAATGTATCAAAAGCTTTAGCAGTTCTTTCTTTATAATGTAAAGGTATTGAAAGCTTTGAGACAGTAGTACAATTGTATTATTGAAGTCACGGATAATACATAAATTGAATTTTATCATCTAATTTTTATGAAAAAATTTCCAAAATTTAGAACTTTATTACTTTAGATTTATAAACCTTATAATAATTAATATTATATTGATTTTAAATTTATATTCTATTAGATCAATACTCTTTAATTCCCAATACAGTAATACCCCGTGTTACGTACGCTCGTTTTACGTACCCTCGCACTTACGTGCATCTCATTTTTGTCCCCAATTGCCCATTATACGTACAATGATTCACACTTACGTACAAGTACATTCTTTCTGGCTTTGAAATTTATGGAAAAAAAAATTATGTATACCAAATTGAGAATGTACACTTGTAACAACGTGTTTTTATTTATATTTAAATTATGTATTGATGAATTTTGAAGTTTATGTTTTATATTTCAGTTTTGTTTGATATTTATATATGTATATGCATTTGTTTTTTGTTTTGTTTTTTTAATACACGTTAAGTGTTAAATATAGTATAAAAACGTATGAAATAAAAGTATAAAACTGCATACATAATATCCCTCTTTTCCTTTTTATTTATATATTTATTGTTTTAGTTTGTTTCAAACATATTATTCATCAATAAAGTAGTAGATTCATTCTACGTACATTTTTGTTTTACGTACACACTCCGGTCCCAAAGGGTACGTAAGTGCGGGGTATTACTGTACATCAATATTATTTCTAATTTTTATACATTATTTTTTTTCCAAAATTTCAAATTTTTTAATTTCAATTTTAATTACAATCAAATTTAAAAATTATAATTATTTAAATTTAATAAAACGTTTAATATTTGTAAAGAAAAAGAAAAACTATAAATTAATAATAAAATAAGAAAAAAATCAGCTAAATAAAATTAAACATAGTCATATAGAAAAATTTACTCATTATTTAATTAATTAATTGTAATGCGTCAATATTTTTTCTATTCTTCTTAATTTTAAATGAATAAAAAAAAAAAACTTTTAAGTACAAATTATTCAAAAAAAAAAAAAAACAAAAATTAAAGAAGAAATAACTTTGTTCACAAATATATTAATTACATATGTATGTATGTAATTAAAATAAGAAAAATATGGCTATATTAAAACAATTTTGTTATACTATATATATATCCATATATTATGTATAAAAAACAACCAATTTATTAAAAATTAGCAGTAGTGTAAAATAAAATTAATAAATTTCCAATTTATGTTTAATACAATTGTATTAATTAATAAGAATATAATTTTTAATATATTTTTCTAACAAATTCAATAATCAAAATTTATAATTTTCACAAATAAATTATTTTAAATGACGTCTATCATTCTACATTCTACATAATATCCAAAAAAAAAATAATAATTATTTTTAAAATTGTGAAAAAAAGTGAATTTTTGAAATTTAAATAATTATAAAACAAATTTTTCTTAACTGATCATTTATTGGACCAATTACTGGAATTCAAATTGTTATTAATTATAATACTAAAATATATATATTATAAATTACTGGACCAATTCAAATTAAGTCAAAAATATAAGAATAAATATGTATAAAAAGAATATTATATTATTAATAAATGTTTGATATTAAGACGAAAAATAATCCCCTCTATTATGTATATCGGTATCGGCCGATAAACGATAATTTATCGGCAAAATTTTGTGTTTGTATTACCAACATTGTTTATCGGTAAATTTTATCGGAGTCGGGAAAGCTTTTTTTCCTGTATAGGAAACGTATTAGCTGGTATTATGAAAACGATAAATTGTCGGATTTTCACCGATTTAAAAGCGGGTACAAATTTTTAGACGACAGATTTTTTTTTTTGTAAAATCTTCATTTTATCAAGGAAACTGGTGTAATTAATTTCTTTTTTAAAATGTAAGCATTTTTTCTAAATTATTTTCTTTCAAAATGTTATTCATATATTTTATTTAGGAGTAAAATCGTAAGCAACAAAAAACAAATTGCGCGGTTAGTAGAAAAAATGGAAGAGGATTTAAACCTGGCAAGGAATGATAATCTGAAATTCTGGATAAACCTAAAAAATGTGTGCATATTATATAAATAATAAAATAAAAAAGGTACCTAAACATACATTTTGTTGTCTAAATCCAATGGATTAGTTGAATCTCTTATATGTCGTCTTTGAATAGCTTGCGTTTCTTCACTTTCAAAATATAATGCACGCGACATTTTCCCGATATATGTATATTTTTATTTTACAAATTTAACAGAAAATAATTTGCTTACAACAACTTTTTAGCACATCAAAACCAAATTCAAAATAGTTTTAAAAATTTTTTGAAAATAACTTTTGAGAGAAAACAAATGTCATTAGAAAAAAAAAAAACTTTTTCTCCAATTTACAAAAACAAAAATTTGTATGAAAAAGCTTCTTTTAATCGGTTGAAATATTTTTATCGGTATCGGTTCATAATACAGAAGACCGATTAGAACTGCCGATAATATATCGGCCGATACCGATGTTCATAATAGAGGGGAATAGGAAATGAGCTATTAAGAAAAAACTTGTAAAAAATACAAATCAAAAATACTTTAATATTAAGTGAAGAAAATTGAAAAATGAAAAAAAAAAAATAATTTTCTAATTATAAATAAATATTATATATTTACGTATATACATATATAAAACATAAATTTGTACACTTATACCTCCAAAAAAGAAAAATAAATTTATATTAAAAATTTTGTATAAAATCAAATATTTAGCAATCAACATTAATTAAAATTTAAAAATTAATTAAATAATATTATATAATATGGGTACAATCTCGATATCTATACAAATTTGTACCATATAATAGATAATGTGCTTAATCAATATTAAATTACTTATTCGTAAATTAAAAGTTTTGTATAATAAAATATAATAAATAAACCATTGAAAAAGTTCTTAAAGCGCCATGTTGCCGTTTCATATTAAATTTTTTCAAAAAATTATTTTAATAAAATGGAATATTTAAAATATCAAAATTAAAATATTTATTTAATTTGTCATATAATATGAAAAATTAATTAAATTTTAAAGAAATGTAAAAATACAAAAAAAAAAAAACCAAAATAATAATAAATTGTGTTGGCAACGTATATTAGAATTTATGATGCAAACATCATGTAGCATTGTAATTCATGACTAAAATCAATTAAACGCATTTGATATACTGAGAAAACGGCCATAATATTCAAAAACACACCAAATTTATTAGTCCCAATAGTAGCAAAAAATTTTTTTCATTCAAATTTAAAATTATGTATTGAGTTTGTACTAAAAAAAACAAAATTACTTTTGATATTATTTTATTATTAATTAAAAAAAGAATACAATAAAAATAATAAAAATAATAAAAATAATAATAATGATAGTTAGTTTAAATTCATTATAAATAAAGAAAAACATACCATTTAATTCAATTTATTAAATTTTATTAAATTCAAATTATGCAAAATGATCTAGTTTATGGTATAGAAAAAAATTTTAATAAATTAATATTATACAAAAATGCCAAATTAAATTATACAAACTGAATACTTACTTAAATTATTTAAAAAAAAATTACCTTTTTTTTTTATTTTTGTACACAATTTCTAATTATTTAAGTATTTCAGTATATTGAAATAGAAATTAAAAATATAGAGCCTTATTCTAGTTGTCGCGTCACTTACGTGACATTTGTCGTTGGCGTTGTCACATCATTTGAAATGTGGTATTCTAGTTGTCGAGTGACGTGACTGCGAGAAATAAACGAAAATGAAACGTTTCAAGTGAAATTGATACATTTTAAAAAGAAATTTTGGCGAGTAAAGTTCAAACTAAAAAAAAAAATTCGGTGTATATATTTATTTTTTTAAATACGAGGGAAATAAAAAATGTCGTCATTTGCATTATGGTTTATGGATTCATCAGACTCCGAGAGTGATGAAATTGAAAAAAAGCAACAATTAAGGATCAAAAGATTTAAGATTAGGGACAGTATTAAATTACAAAATTTATTATTTTTTATATTTTTATTAAATTGTTTTGTTTAAACTTACATTTTTAGTGTATCCATCTCGCTTGTCACTTGTTAAATACTTTTCGACAAAAAACGTCGTTTCACTACGACATGTGTCGCTCTACAACGACAACTGGAATATACCTGAAACACATTTTCCCGCTATTCCACGACACGTGTCACTTTAATCGCCATTTAGAATATCAAATTCAAGTTGTGACGACAATTGTCGCTCTACTTCGACAACTAGAATAAGGCTCATTGGTTTATGGATCTTAAAATTTTGAAATGCTCATACAATTTTATTGATTTTATTTTTAAAATTACATAAATAGCTAAATGCTTTTATAATAAATTTCACATTTAAATATTTTTAAAATATTAAATATTCATACATTATACAATTATGTTTTATTTAATAATTTTATTTATTAAATAATTTAAATAATATTTTTCCCAATTATGAACAAAACTTTTTTGAAAGTAAAATTGAAAAACTTGTCATTAAAACTTACACTTATTTGGTACAATAAAATTATTCCACTGTTCGGATGTTTATTTGAAGAAGCTACAAGAACTTTTATTTTTGATTTCAATCAGAAACGTCCGGTATAAATAAATGACTTTATTAATTAAATTGATCATTGATCAAATTTAAATAAAAAACAAAATATGTATGTATGATTTGAGTTTTTTCTAATAGATCATTCTTTATAATGAAAGAAATTATATTTTTTTGCCATATTATATTAAAAAATTTAATAACACTTTTGTTTTTTTTTTTTTTAATTTAAACAAACAAATTGAATTCAACAATTTGTTTAAAATCTGAATTTGAATCGACTTTATACATGCAATGGTATTTCTACATTTCTTAAATAAAAAATTTACTTACAAAATTTTAATATTAAATATGAAAAAAAATTTTTATTAAATATATTTGTATAAGAATTGGTAAAAATACAAAAAAAGAAAACTAAAATTAATACCTTAAAAGGTGCTCCTAAACGATGTGATTATTAAATAATATTAAATTGTATTTTGAGAATTGATTACCTATATTATATGAATGTATGTACATTAATCAATAAACAATTAATTTTGTGTGAATTTCAATAATTATTTTTTCATACAACAATTTAAAAAAAATACATATTTTATTAATAAATTTTCTACTCAAAGATAACAAAAAAAAATTGAATAAAAAATAATGAAAAAAAATTATTTAATTATTTTTTTTTTAAGTTTATGCGAAACTCACCAAATAATTTTTTATTATTGTTATAATTATTATTATTATTTTTAATATGGTGTTAATTATATAAGATTAAAATAAAAAAAAAAAAAATCACATTGTTTTTGGGGCATGTTAAAAAAAAAAAAAATAAAATTTAATTATAATTAAAAAAGTAATTCAAATAATTAAAAAAAAAGAAAAATTAAATTCGAATGTAAATAATATTATTATTATAATTTTATAAGTGCGATTAGTTAAAATAAACACAATAAAAACAAAAAACAAATAATGGAATATTTTTCGTCTTTATTTTCATAAACATTTAAACGAACATTACTATACGGGGTTTGCATTAATTCAGTTCTAGAATAATTCTAAATTGTATTACGTTTGAAAATTGTACGCTGTACCCATTAAAAGTATGGATCGTTCGGAAATTACTCGCTGTAACTGCTTTAAGTGATTCTTTATGTAATATAGAAATGTCTGAAATGTAGCGCAGACATTCTGCTTAAATTGTAAGAAAGTTTTACATCTTGCTACATTGTATAGTACATTTTGCTTAAATTGTATGTAAGTTTTGGTTTTTATAATTCAAAATTTTGATTTTCTATTTATAATTTAGCATTGTTAGAAATATAATTTAGAAAATGGCATAAATATCATAAATGAACGGCGTATTATTCTAAAAGTTTCAGAATTTATAGACTGTATAAACTTAAAAAAAAAAAATCTTAGCTGAAGTTTGAATTGCGTTTAATGATGTTTTTTTAGAAATATAAAGCTCTAATGTAGAACAGAATTTTCAATGTAGCATACAGAAATGGCATATAACCGTATAATATAAATGAATTTCATGTGAAAATTCAGGCAATATACTTAGAACTCAATATACAATAGTATATTTCTTCAGAATAAATTTATACAATTGTTATAAATTTGTAAGAAAAAACCGGTTTATTGCTACTTTCGTACAACATTAAATATTTCACATACACACTAATATACTTCCATTTAAATGTGAATAACTTATTTTGAATATTTATTTTCTATTTAAAATATATATATTACATAAATATTCTAGATTCACAAAATATGGCATAAATATTCTAGATCATAGTAAAATAGAAATTCCTAAATTAATTTATTTGAGTAAAAAGAAAACCATTTTTTTTTTTTGAAGAATTTTATTTACATAATTTTCCTTAATAAGGGAACAAGTACAAAATGTTCATCTGCTTTTCAAAATTTTTTCTTTTTTGTCTTATCATATATTATTACTAGAATATAAAACACAAATTTCCACATAGAATATTTTAAATTAAAAAAAAAAAAAAAAACAATTGTTTAACAAATATTGATTATTTATCATTTTGCTGAGGTATTATTTCAATTTCTGTTGTATTAGTATTGGATTCAGTATTATTTGCTTTTATAAATGAGCTTGTTCCAGCTCCGCTATTTAATCCACTACCACCAATACATGATGTAGAAGATGGTGAAGAACAACGATCAGTTGGAACTGATGAACTGCTATTACTATTACAATTTTGATTATTTGCCGTATCTAATTCTTCTAGAAATTTATCCATATAGTCTGTTAAACCAGGATGTACGCTATATTTCTTTTTATCTAATCTTGTTTTATTTGCGAATACATCATGACGCTCAGTTTTCTTCCAAAGATAATAAAATTGTACTAATTCACCTACAGATCTTGTATGAACCTGAAAGTTTTTTTTTTATCCACATTCTCAATTAAGTTTATTATTATATATTTTGACCAAAATTTACTTTTGCATGTTTTATAGTATGAAAATCTTTGCCATATAAACGTATAACACTTTCAAAATTTCGACATTCTTCTTCCGACCAAATACTCATTTGATCAGTTGGGGGTAATGGATTAATTCTTTTTCTTCTTAATGCTTCTTCAACATTATAACCACATTGTAATAATAAGAACAAGGCCTATCAATTACATAAAAAAATTGTAATTACAATAAATGGGTATTTTTTCAATTTTACCTGTTCATCATCTCTTAGATTAGTTCCAGCAATTGGTGGAATAACACTATTTTCTGATGTACTGCTAATAGAATTTGATGTAGTCTTAGACTGTTCTTGAGCTTTTGTTAAAAATTCTACTATTTGTTCTTCAGTTAAACGACTCGGGTCCCATAACAATTTATCTTCATTTTCATAAGGGAGAACATCATCATATATTGAAAAACCTTCTGGAATTACTGCCTGGTACTCACTTCCAACCATAATACTCTATAATGATTCCAATTTCTAAAAATTGCTTTCTATATCTACATGTTAATTCATACCTTTCTCATTTCGTCCTCATCTGGACTGTAATCTCCATCTTCTTCTTCATCAGATTGTTGTCTAGACAAAGCTACAAAACGAAAATTATAAATAATTACGAATGCGAAATAAACAAGAAATACTTCTTAATAATCTTTTATCTCCTGTTTTATATGTTTCTGGATACAACTTTTTTAAATGTGATTCTTCTTTTGAATCATCATCATCATCTTCATATTCACTTTCATCCTCCTCCCCATCCAATATATTATCATCATCCTCTTCTAAATCAGGTTCATCCAAATCATTCTCTATTGCAGCAGAAGAAGTAGATGGTTTTGAATTTAATTTACTTTTTGATTCTTTGTTATCTAATAATTTCTCATCTCTTTCTGCTTTATCTGAGGTCCTTTCCCTTCCAATAGATGGCTTTCGTTCCCTTTTACTTGAACTTTGATCCTCTTCAATATCCGCTTTATCATTATTTGAAGAACTTGCCTTCCTTCTTTTTGTACCTCTTTTTATTGAACTTGTTTTTCCGCTTCGTGGATTTCTGATACTTTCAACAGGAATTTTATACAATGCTAAGAGTTCTTCAATAGGCATATCACTTTCCTTTTGTAGACTTGAAAGTTCTGTGGAAGGATCCTCTTGCTCTTGAGCAGCCATCGCTTCCTCTTCTTCTAATGTACGTTCATCATCGAAGTCATTTACCTAAAATTCGTTTAATGATAAATTTCTACCAACTATAATTATTAAGAACGTTTTGAAAGGTGTAATGTGCATATACAACACCTACACACATACGTAATAAAATATGTAGATATAAAATTAAAAGTAATTATAATGCATAGGTGTGTCCTTCTTTAAGAACATAAAATTTTTTGTAATTTTACAAAAATAAAAGTTATTCGAAAGAAACACATCTTACAATAATAAATACAAAATATTTTACCATCATATCCACGGTTGGCTCGAATATAGAATCTGGAAAATTAAAAAAATTTTATATTTTAAATAGATACACAGGAATGGAAGCAATATTGAAATTTATTTCTGTTTTACCTTTCGAGCTAGTTTTGGAGGAAGATGGAGATACAGGGCACTGTAATTCTTCAGCCATGTTAGCATAACAAAAAATTACTAAAAAATTAAATATAAATTTACTATTAATTTTTTTTTAGTAAAGTTAACGCGCGAATTTATGTCCTGCAAACTTAAACAATTATAAACAATGAAGCAAAATAACAACAAAAAAAACCTAAAAAATATTCTTACTACGCGACAGACGCTGTAAATGTCATTTGTTCATTTGTCAAAAGTCATTGAATATTGAATTTAATCACATTGTGTGTGTTTGTGTATGCATTTAACATTAACAATAGGTCTGTTCATTATTTTTGTAATGAAAGTCAAGTGTAAACACAAAAGAAATATAGAAATATGTAGTAATAACATACACAGAAATTATTGAATAAAACTACATTGCGCTCAAATTAAATTTTTTTATCAAAACAATTTTGGCATCTTTAAATTGTAAACAGAACGAACAAGAGCGATTGTAAGCAGCGAAATGTCAGAATTCATATAGAATACTCATATTTAAATGGGATTGCCCAGAATCAAGCGAAATCATGCCCACCAATGGTGAAATAGCCTAAATTTCTATTTTACAGCAGGCGTTTTGTTTTGACATTATCTGTTTCCATGTGTTTTTGATATTATATGCAAAATTCTGTATAATTGACTTTGTCGTTCCGCTATTATTCGAGGCTGATAATGAAAAGCGTCCGCCGTTGCTATTTACAGCTTTGGTCATTTTGGCAGTTTTTACAATTTCCCCTTGAGTTCCATGGTTTGTTTTTAAAAGCTGTTAATTTTTTAATGCAGCAAATTTTAACAAATCATAACTTTTTGGATTCTCGGACACTTAGTTAAATTACTCTGTTAAATTTGCACAAACACTTAGTCCGTTTGAGTGACGATTTAGGTTGATAAGTTGATGGAAAAATGGGAAAAATTTAATCAAAATTTAACAGATCGGCCTAAACGGACTAAGTGTCCGTTCAAATTTAACGGATTGACCTAAACGGACAAAGTGTCATTTTTTTTTGTATTACTCGCTACAAACTTTTCAAATTATTGTAAAAACAAATTAGCTTTTGAACGTTTCCTTTTAAAATTTACAACTAAAATCTACTTACTGTTTAAAATACATACATACATAAATATTTCAGAAATTACCTTTAGCATTTTAGAAATTTAATTTTCTAGTTTATTATCTTAATTTCCATTAGTAATCTACAATTTTAATTTGAGGGCAAAATTTTCAAATTAATTGCAGCTTTCTTTAATAAATTTATAAGAAATATTGAACTGAATAATAGTTCCTCTACTATATATGACTTTTTTGGCAAAATTATTTTATACCTTCGATAGCTCAGTTGGTAGAGCGGTGGACTGTAGAACGAACTCAATAACGCAGAAATCCATAGGTCGCTGGTTCAAATCCGGCTCGAAGGATTTTTTTTATAAATTTTTTTCTAAAATACAGTATATATAAATATAATATAATATATATAAATATTTTTATGTGCATGCTTTTTACGTACATATATGTAATTACATATAGTGGTGTATCTTAATGTGCAGTTTTCTTTTTTATCTGTCGTCATTTCATAAAAGTTGAACGATATTTGTTTGTATTTAATAAAAAAAAAAAATAAAAAAGCTTTTTCGAAACAAAAAAGCGGATTAATTAAGTTTAAAAAATGCAAAAAAATTTCCTTCGAGCCGGATTTGAACCAGCGACCTATGGATTTCTGCTCTATTGAATTCGTTCTACAGTCCACCGCTCTACCAACTGAGCTATCGAAGGCATTAATTTTATTTGCCAAAGTTTATACAAATACAACTTACCATTACGTTTCTATTTCATAATTTTAATAAATTTTTTAAAACTATCAATTCATGATCCAATAGAATATTTACGTACGAAAGCAGGTTTTGATCAGCTATACAATACTTGTTTCATTACAATGTTGTTGTTGAAAGAAATAACAAATTTCTCAAAATTTCATAAGATATACTTTATTAGATATAAACGCTTTTATCCAGAGTTAAGTATAAAAAATGCTACATATATAAACAAAATTTGAAAACCAGGTGAAAAATTAAAAAAACTCAAAGCACAAATAAGACGGGCACATACGAGATAAAAGTAATATTACAGCTATTATATTGTTAAATTTCGAGTTATACTACACTAGTTTTGAAAGTAAGAAATATTAATTTTTAAAATAAAAATAATATGCAACCAAAATTATTGCGGATAGTAACATGACAATGAATAAAAATCTTTTAATTCTGTATTTTCGGTCAAGAACAATCCATAGTTGACGGAATGAATCACCAACTCCATTTTGCGAAGAGCTCCTTGTATATGTGCGTCGGCCTATAGTTCTGGAATAGTTATCGTTTGGACTCAAAAAGTCCTTTTTATTAATTCCAATGTCCAATTTTTCTGCTTTTAAGTTTGATAATCTTTTTGCAAAATCACTCAAATATGGCGCTTGTTGAACAATTTCATCTTCTTCTTCTTCTTCATCAAAGTTACTATCGCTATTTTCAACTTCCACATAATTAGACTTTTTAAGGTTTGTGTTAATGTCCAAATCTACAGATCTTCTCGATGATGAAGCTGATGGTAGGCTAACAGGTGTATATGTTCTTTTTGTTATAGTTGATGCACTTTCATATGTAGTTTTTGAACTACTTGAGTTATCAACTGTGTTAAGGCTTGGATACAGTGGCTTATAACCAGTTGGATATATATTGTCTTTTTCAGCTGAGACCCGAAAAGTAGACGGAAAATTATAACGAGGAATAGATAAAGTAGGAGTATCTCTGTCCCTGTTCGGCATAAATTGCTTAGACAAATTGTACTCCTTTCGTTTTTCAACATAACCTTCCTCCTCAGTTTCTTCTTCTTCAATTATTTTTTGCTCTTTGTTTGCTGTATCCTTTTTATATGAAGTTGTAACTACAGCACTTTTTGATAACGATGGCGAACGTGACTTACGGATTGGTATATTAGTAACTACTGGTTCCTTGATATCGTCATCAATTAATACAAATTCATCATCAAAATCGGTTTCCTCAGTAATAATAGGAGCAGTTTTTCTTGGTAAGGACATTGGAATTGAAGTTTCTTGTACTGGAGTAGTTCTACTAGCTCTGCGTTTTTCTACTGGAGCAGTTTCTTTTATATTTTGATCTTTTTCTTTGCGAACCGCACCAATTGTAGTACGTCGATTACTAGTTCTTGATGGTTTTGTTTCCTCCACATTTATCGTGGTTGTAGATGTCACATGCATTGTTTCCCGCCGAGCCTTATTTCCTTTACCAGCAGTATTAGCACCACCATCCATTGCTGCTCTTAACTTTTTAATTAATATCTTTTTGCTTGTTACTGTAATCGGAACATTGGGTAAACCATATTCAATACATTTTGCTCTTAAAGTTTTGTCATCTAAACTCTCTAAATCATCGGACGCCGACATTATATTATTATATTAAGTGACCTTTAATCTTTAGATATTTCTAATATTCAATTTTTTTCTTATTCTTGTTCACTCCTAATCTGATTTTAGATCACAAAGAAATTATGTTAAATCGTATTTAGTAAAATTTTTCAATTTTAAATAAAAGCCAACTAGCTATTCACAACTTTATCTATGCAATAAACTTTAATTTGAAAATACTACCAACACACGCTAAGTTTTGACAATTATGACAGTTAAAAATGTTTCATTTCTAATAAGTTCCACAACTGACATTTTTCAAATTTTTTTCAATGGTTGAGTGAAAGGATTAAAGGAAGATTTTATATGAATCAGTAATCAAAATTTTGTATGAAAATTAGAAATTTGAGTTCACTTTAAATATCAAGACGGAAGCAAATATTTGATTTTTAATAATTAGACGGAATAGGCTTAATAACCAAAATATGGATCTGATTTTCTATTATAGTATTTTCGAACAAAACTTATGACTTAATTATAACATGTCTGATAAAATCCAAAAGAGTATGAAGTCCAATAAAATTATAATATGTATGTCACGTTATGATGTTTTTAAGGTAAAAATTATTTTATATTTTATAAATTATAGTATAAATTGTTACTAAAATCCCATAAACTCGGTACATGCAAAAGAAATTTTTATAGGTTAATATCATTCCACCCCTGGAAAAATCAAGTTGGAGACTTACCCCTGATATATTATTGGAGACTTTCAGATTGACATTTTAAACTTCAAAGTAGTGCAGAGAAAAAAAGTGACGTTTCTAGCTTTGATCTTTAAAAAAAAATTATTTAGAAATTTTTTCATAAAAAAAAGATATTTAAGGCGTAAGCTTCTTTTAAATTTATAGTGTGATTTTGCTAAAGAAAAAATCAACATTGAAGAATTGATAATTTGGATATGTCGCCGAATCCATATCTTACGTTTTTTATTCAATGTTTTTCGAAAAAATATGAATAAAATTCTTTTACTTTTAATAATCATAAGTGGGTTTTTAGTAATTTTCTATGCAAATTCAGAAATATTTTCCAGGAAAACACTTATAAATGTTTTCCATAAAGAATTTGCTATTGGTGCAATCGTAGCAAATAAAACAATCAGTAATTTAATTGATAATGAAAATGTCATTCAAAACCATGAAGAAAAACACAATGAGGGGGTATTTAAGCGTTATCAAAAAAGCAATGGGAATGAAATCGGTGCAATCAATGGTAGCTATCGTGTTCGTCGCAATCATACTATTGGTCATGCTAGAAAAGTGCCATATAACTCACGAAATAACGATTATAATATTTTTGTCATTTACACTAAAGAAAATTATCAATTGCAGAAAAAATTTGAATTATTTTCTAAAAGTCTGCTCAAGTAAGTTTTGTATATAAATAGGAAATTTTTTTGTTTTGAATTCACACAGTATAATAACCATTTGATCAAAACACTGAATCCATTAAAAATAATGGAAATTTTAAAAATTTTAGATACACAACTGTAAAAGTTCACCTGCATATAATTACCGATAGCAAAAGCGAAACAACAGCAGAGGAGCTTTTAAAAGAACAAATCAGACGATATCATAAATCGATATATTACACACTTTATTATGTTCACGATTGTGCTGAAAAAATAACTGATATTGTACATGCAATGATGCCATTTTTTAGTTCAAATCCTGGTAGTTATTACAGCGATGCACTTTTTTATTTATCATTAGGTTTGCATCGTATTGTGGATCCAAAAATGTCTCGAGGCATACTGATCGATTGCGATGTGGTCTTCCGTACTGATGTCCGATTTTTATTTGAAGAATTTTCAAAATTTTCTTCCGATAACTTATTTGGTTTAGCACCCGAATTAACACCTGTTTATCGTCACATATTGTACCGTTTTAGAGCAAATTATCCTCAAACAAATTTTGGAAGTCCTTATTATTCTAGCGCATACTTACTACACAATAATTTAATTAATTCGAATAGTGTAAATGGTGGTTTTAATAGGGAAAGTATTAGAATGCTATCAAAACATAAACATAAGCATATAAAACATGGTTATCCGGGTTTAAATTCAGGGGTAGTATTAATGAATTTCGATGGTATAAGATCATCAAAATTATATGCTGAAGCTTTAAAAGAAACTTACGTAACTAAATTGGCCAATAAATATTTATTTAAGGGACATTTAGGCGATCAAGATTTCTATACCTTATTGGGTTACGAATTTCCCAGCTTAATATATCGTTTAGACTGTGTATGGAATCGTCAACTATGCACTTGGTGGAAAGATCATGGCTATTCAAATGTATTTGATACATACTTTCATTGTGAAGGTAAGTATCTTATTTATTACCTACTATTATTTAATAATTTTAAGCTTCCTTTAAAAAATCTAAACTAATTTTTTTTTTATATTTTTTTTAGGTAAAATAAAAATATATCACGGAAATTGTAACACACGAGTTCCCGAGTAGATAGAATTATATAAAAAAATTTCTTTTGTGTGTTCATTTTATATCGATAAGATAAAAAAAAAAAAACAAAGTAATTAAATAAAAAACAAAAAAAAAAACAAATATTAATTTTCCCAACTTCTACAAAATATAAAACACACTCATACACGTATCGTAATTTATATACAAAATATACTATGGAATAGAACTTACATGTAAAAAAAATCGTAAAATTTTAAAAACAAATCATTATGATAGCTTAAATTTTTTCTTGATTTTTGTGCCATCTTATTATTATAAAAAAGGTTTCTTGCATGACCTAATAATTCTGAAAACTTTCATTGTTAAAATAATTTTATTTATATCTAAGTATAATAATTTGTTAAAAGAAGGCATCGAAATTGCTTAGTGCAATAAATTAATTTTAATAATTTATTAAAAATTAAATAAATATAAATTGAAGAAAATGTAAAACAAAAAAAAAAATTAAATACATGTACATATATATTCGTTTATTATACGAAAAAAAAAAAGAAACTTAAATATCAGGGGTTATACCTAGCGGAACTCTATTTAATTTACGTAGTTTGAGTCAATATAAAATTATAAAAACACAATATTATTATTTAATTTAATTGTTATATATATATTAATTTTTAATTATTTATGTGAAAGAATTATATACTAATGCAATTTGAAATTACATTAAAATTACATTCCTGTTTTATGTAAATATATTTATGTTTTATATAATATATATACATACTTGTTATCTATTGTATTACTTCCTATAAGAATTTATAGAATTTTTTATTTTTCCCAATCGGTTATTATTTTTGAATCTCAACCATAATTTCCATTATTTGATTAAATAGTTATTTGCACTAAAAAAACAAAATCCAAAAAAAAAAAAAATTAATAATGTATTATAAATTTAAAAATAAGAAAAAAAAAAAAAAACGAAAATAAGCAAATCATTTTTTTAACACACTTATATCTGAAAATCTAAATAAATTAAAAAATAATAATTATATACATAAAAGAAAATAAACTCAAAGTATTATAATATTAAAAAAAAAAAAAAAAAGCGTAAAAATGTATACATTTAAATAATATGCATAGATATATGATTTTATTCAATAATATAAAATAGAAAAAAATAAACAATGATTTTTATTAACTAACTATAATGTAAAATTTTTAGATATATATCTTCGTATGTAGTGACTTATTTACATATATATATATATATATATATGAATATATAAATAGATAATGTATATGTATATATGTAAATATATTTGAGTTAAATGTGCAATTTCGTTATTTATTTAATTATTTTATTCAATCAGGAAATTTTAATATATATACTTGTAATATACTACCATATATTTATAATTATAATTTATTTATATTACAAAATATTTATATATATATAGCTAAATATATTATAATTTATATTTATATCACATATTAAATATAAATATATAATATATTTATTCATATATATATATATACAAATAACATTGTATAAAAAATAATATTATATAAATTATTATATTAGTATTATTAATATTATCACATTATTTATTATATTACCCGTAATTTCTTTTTATATGTTATGCAATTTAATTTTAAATTATGTTTATTGCCCTTTTAATTTTAAACATAATTAATAAACTAAATATATTATAATTTGAAATTACACTTTTAAAATTAAAATATATATATATATATATATATATATATATTTTTTATTATTTAAAATTAATATTATTCTTAAATTAATTTTAAATAAAATTTATTATTCGAATTCAAATTTTAAAATTATATTTTTTATTAATTAACTTTATTTCTTTCATTCTTTAGAGAGAACAATATTTAAAAAGAAAATTTTAAAGACTATTAATTGAAAACGTCCTTAATTTAAGCTATTCATTAAATTATTAAAAAAAATTTTACATAACTTTATAAAGAAATGTAGTATTTGATTACAAATTATGAATACTATTCAAAAACAATATGTACAACTAAACTAATGTACAGAAAACTTATTTTTATGATCTCAGACAAATCAACAGATTTTTTTCTGATCGGTATTAAAAAAAAACATTTAAAAGAAAACTATTGATTTTCGATTACATTATATCAATTAATTATTTGAATACGAACAGAACAATGTTCTACTGGTTGTTTTACATTTATTTAGTTGTTAATATAAGATTTCTAAAAAGTTGAATTGTGTTATTCAATTTTAATGTTTAAATTTTAATTTGAATTATTATTAAAAATTTTTTAGTTTATATATATATATATAACATGTTAAAAAACTTGTTTTTGTAAAAATATATATATCCTTCAATCATAAATCGTTCTAATAGCTTTTAAATACATATATCAAAGAAAATATTTTTTATTTATTTATTGAATTGAAATTTACACGTTTTAAAAGTGTCCTTATTAAGTTTTAATATCTGTTATTTATGATTTTATTTTTATTTAAAAATTGATTTTTTTTTTTGAAATATTTTGTTATATTAAATAATTTTATGCTCTCTTTTAAAAATTAAATGGAAAAAAAAAAATAAAAGAAAATCATTTTCTATTTATAATAAATTTGTTAATATTAAGTAATATGTTATATTTCTATGACAAGTCTCAAAATATTGTAGTTATTAGAATAAAAAGATAAATGAAAGAAAAAGAAAGTATATACAATAAAAAAAAAAAAGAACAACATACTGAAATATATAAAAAAAAAAATGCGTTTTTATTACTTCTCATATCGTATACCTTCTCAATGGTATGTTCGGAAGCTATTGTAGTAACTCTAATAATCTCGCAGTATCAAAGTGAGTCGATTTAGGGTGGTAATTAGGCAACCATACTTAATTTGGATTCGATAGAAGCAAAAAACTTGGAAAAAAGAAAAATTGTACTCATGTCTTATGAAATCTAAACTCTTTGAATTTTGATTTAAAGAATTAGGATCATTATTGTTTAAGGCTCCACAAGAAGTTTTACTTTACCAGCTCTGTAACAAAAGAATTTCGGGAATTGCCTGTAATTGTCAATTACGTTTTTTCATAAATTAAGGAAAATTTCCGCTAAATGCTGGTGTTAAAAAGAGTTGTAATTCGTAAACTAAGAAAAATATTATTTAATATTATTTTGAAAGATTATTGTAGAATTTAAAAGGGTCTAATTTGAATTCTAGTCATAATATAAATAAATAAGTAAAAAAAGACTGATATAATAAACAAAAGAGTTTTAGATATGTTTTAAACTGGTTTAAAAAATGAAAAAATGAAAAAAAAAATTTGATGCCAACAACACGCGGTGTTCCCAAGCGGTCCCCCATCTAAGTACTAACCGCGCCCGACGTTGTTTAACTTCGGTGATCAGACGAGAACCGGTGTGTTCAACGTGGTATGGTCGTTGGCAAATTGATTTTTTCAAAAACTCAATAGTATGTAATATTAATTAGATTCTGTTTTGCGCTTTATTGTACACACAAAGCATTTCAATATCTACTTATTATATTGTTTTTGTAATGAGCTTATCAAATATGAAACTATAAAATCGTTTAATATTATACTGATGGTTTATTTCAAAGTACACAGTAACGTACTTAAATATGTATTTCATCTTTAAAACTAAGAAAATTGAGGCTCTCATTTGAATTCCAACCATAAAATTATTATAAGTAAAATAAAGTTTTATAAAAAAAAAAAACAAAAAATGAGTTTCAGCCATAATAAATAAGCTTTGTTTTGCTGAATTTTATGATGATTTAAAAAAAATGAAAAAAAAAATGCCAACAACACGCGGTGTTCCCAAGCGGTCCCCCATCTAAGTACTAACCGCGCCCGACGTTGTTTAACTTCGGTGATCAGACGAGAACCGGTGTGTTCAACGTGGTATGGTCGTTGGCAAATTGATTTTTTCAAAAACTCAATAGTATGTAATATTAATTAGATTCTGTTTTGCGCTTTATTGTACACACAAAGCATTTCAATATCTACTTATTATATTGTTTTTGTAATGAGCTTATCAAATATGAAACTATAAAATCGTTTAATATTATACTGATGGTTTATTTCAAAGTACACAGTAACGTACTTAAATATGTATTTCATCTTTAAAACTAAGAAAATTGAGGCTCTCATTTGAATTCCAACCATAAAATTATTATAAGTAAAATAAAGTTTTATAAAAAAAAAAAACAAAAAATGAGTTTCAGCCATAATAAATAAGCTTTGTTTTGCTGAATTTTATGATGATTTAAAAAAAATGAAAAAAAAAATGCCAACAACACGCGGTGTTCCCAAGCGGTCCCCCATCTAAGTACTAACCGCGCCCGACGTTGCTTAACTTCGGTGATCAGACGAGAACCGGTGTGTTCAACGTGGTATGGCCGTTGGCAAATTAATTCTTTCAAAAACCGTTTATGACCAAATAATATCTAACATAAAATTAGACACTGTTTTGCACTTTATTGGGTACAAATCATTAATTCTATAGATACTCGATGTTTTTAAAGAACTATGAATATTAAGAATTTTTATTAAGGATACGATTTTTCTTTGAAAACAGAATAAATCGATTTTAAATAAACTAATGATTTATTTTAAAATATGCAGTTTGTGTCTAATAGCAGTTTCAATGACATTTTGTAATCCTAAAGCTATTTACACCCTATCCACTCCCATACATTTGCAACATCAAAGCCATGATTTTCTGACAAAGAAATTTTTGATAATTCATATGTTGATAATTTTTTCATATAGGTTAAACGTTCAGAAGTCATTGGATGTCTTCCAGGATCTCCTATAAAGATTTTTTTCTTTAATGTTCTTAAATGAAATAACCACGGAACTATCAAACATGCAATGTCTTCATCATAAAATATATCACCAAGTAATATAACATCTGCGTCACATTCTTTGCCAATTATATTTTTCGTACATGATCTTAATTTTACATTATTTAATTCAGCGTTCAGTTCTATAGCTATTTCAGCAACTAAAATATAAATAAATATAAAAAAGTAAGAAAAATTTTTTTAAAAAAATTGCTGGAGATGCCGGGGATCGAACCCGGGGCCTTTCACATGCAAAGCGAACGCTCTACCACTGAGCTACATCCCCCATATTAAAATATTTCTGTAGCTAACAATTCAGCTTAGACTCACTTAAATAGTGCAAAAATAAACTTTAAGAAAATTTAAAATTTTTAATACATTCACACATTTTAAATAAGTTTATGAAGTAGTTAACTAATTTAAATCGCTCGAACTAGAGTGCCAATATTCAAGAATTATTTTTGTATCCTTCGTTTTCAAAGCTCTACTTGATAAATCTGTGAACGATGTATTGATGCTGCGCAAGTCAGAAATGGTTTATGAGAATACTTATATTTTGTCCATTATTTCTTTAGGTAATTTTCTTTAAAATAATTTAAATAAAAGAAAATTACATAATAAAAAACTTATTCATATGAAAGGAAAATTAAATAACTGTTAAAATGAAATTATTAATATGTACTGTTTTATTTAGTGTCAATTTTAAATCTCTTTTATTGTGTAAAATGAACATGCTTAGTTTGTTTCGAATATCTTTTTGTTACACGGGCATTTTCTAATTTTAACTTATTTCTTCCACTTAAAATTTAAAGCTCTCAATATCCTACATTCCCGATAATACGAACTATAATATGGTATACATAATATTACAATCTATATTCACATATTGATATTTATAAATGAATACGTAAGCAATATCTTACGTTTAAAAAACTGTTAGTAGAATAACCCACTGGTGTTAAAACTAATCTTTGACAAGTATGTAGATATGGGGGATGTAGCTCAGTGGTAGAGCGTTCGCTTTGCATGTGAAAGGCCCCGGGTTCGATCCCCGGCATCTCCAATTATTTTTTTTTTCTTTTGAAATATATGCAGCACCACAAAAATGTATCACAAAAATGTATGTAACGACATTCGGTGCACAAACTTAATTTATTTACTTTTATCGATATCATTTGCTATACATGATTTTGCACCAGAAATCATTGCAGCAATAGAGCATGCACCACTTCCACTACCAATGTCTAACACTCTTTTAGATTTTACCATCAATGGATTATCTAAAATAAATCTAATAAATTAGTAGGTAATTTTTGGAATTCTTTAATGGAACATTCAATTTTACCTGCTCAATGCTTGTCCTCCTGGCCAATAAAATCCCCAGAATGGATCATTTTCAAATACTCTATCTTTTTGTAGAATAACAGGTTCATGATATATTTTACAATTTGGGGTGATCAATCTAAGTGAAATTTCCGGCGTTAAATGTGTATTAGTGATTTCTGTATTGTTTAAAATTTTCTCCCTGAAAATAAGTGTATGGATTAAATAAAAATTTATGACTATTTTTGTAACGTTATTTATCTATTTTTTTGGAAATTTTTTTATTTTATATTTTGAAATAGCTCAAGTTATAAAAACCTATGTATTATATAATCACGTTTGTGTTATAATCACTTAAATTCTTTTTTTGAAATATATGGAAAGAAAAAATTATACAACATTAACAATTAATTTAAAGGAAAAAATTTTATTGGTGGAATTTCTCGTAAACTTATGTAAAGATTTTAGATAAATGTAAAAAAAAATTTGGAGATGCCGGGGATCGAACCCGGGGCCTTTCACATGCAAAGCGAACGCTCTACCACTGAGCTACATCCCCCTTGTAATTTTACTTTCAAAGTGTCACTTTTCATAGTAATGCATAATTATTATCATGTAACTTATTACTCTCGACAATTTTAAGTCAAAAACCCAATAAAATTGATATACGTATGGTATGCATTTACATGTTGATGTATGTAAGTACTATGAACTACACATACTCTTCATTTTTCATATTATTCTAGATTAATAAACGATGTTTTTCATTTCTGTAGCACAGTAATATCTCCATGGCGTAGGCCGAACAAATCAACATAATTTTTAATTCAAAATTTAATATTCATATATTTCGTACAAACAAATATTTACTGTCAGTACCAAAGGTAAATACATACATTATATTAAATAGTATGTATAAAAGAAAGTTATATATAAGTGGTATGTTTATTAAATGAATCAATTCATTGGTTATAATTAATGAACTTAAGAAAATATAAAGCTATATCATAATTTTAATTAATAATTGAACAAATAAATTATAAATAATATTATAAAAAAAATTATTATTAATATGTTTTGGTCGAAATTTGAATTAAAAATGAGTAGTGCAACTATGAAATATTTGTATAAAATTAATTTGAGTAATAATGTAGCTAACAATTAGAGATACATACGAGTACGTTTTAACTCATCATTTCGATGAAACAGTTCTAATTTTATGTTAGTTTATCGCACATGAAGCCGGAATATCAGCCATTAAACATTAAATTTGCGAAAAGAAACAGAATGAAACCGGATATGGAGGACATGGAAAAATAACAAATGAAATTTATCAAAAACTAAAGAGCAATATATCAACTTCTGTATACCACATTTTAATATTTGTCGACCTTAAAAGCAAATTAACTATTTCTAAAATTGAATGTTTTGATTTCAGAAAAAAATTGTATGTTAAATGGAAGATAGAAAACCGGTGGATATTATACTATATTCTTTGGCTAAACTGTTATACCTGCCGTCCCGGTCAATTTGATATTATAGTAGCATATTATATATGAACATATTAAATGTAATATTTTTTATTAAATTATCATAGAATTTATTTAAAATCATTAAAAAAAATAAATTAATCAATTATTTGTATATACGTGTACATTTATAATAGTAGTGTTTTTGTTGATTTATTTTGTTTTTATTTTGCGACTGTCCGGCACTGGCTGTTCGGCGCCGCAATTGTCTTGGACATGTGTCCCTAAGTGTTTGGGAACTGTTGTCCAACTCCTTTAGGGATATCTCTGGCTTTGTGGTTGGGAAGGGGATATTATTGGCGGGAACGTGGGGGAGCCTACAATAAGTAAAAAAAATGGCTGCGGTGGCTTGGGGGGTTACTCCTGTCCCACTCGGTTCACTTAGAATCTATAGAATCTACAATCTACAGAATCTATATTTATAATAAATTTATAAATATTCTGTCTACTTTTATTGTAATATTATACATAAAATTTTGCACTTTAATCTCTATTACATTTTATATGTAGGTCATTCAAATATTTATTACAAAATTAAAAGAAAATGTGCTATACAAAGATTAAATTAACTGAACATTAATTATAATCGTGATTTAATTAATAGGTCAGAATATTATGTGCAGGTGATTGCAAAAAACTGTATAACATAATTTCTGTTACAAAATAATTGCAATTAAAAATTTAATTTTGATAATATGCACATAAAAATTAAATTGATCAAAATAATAAATTTATTTGAAGAAAAATATTTTCAATTCACAATACACTTTAAGGTACATATGCACAAACGTTAACGCGTGCTGTGCTCAAAATTAAAAAAAAAAAAAAATTAACATGTGAACATATGTTCAATATTTTGAGCAATCCAAACATGTGTCAATAAGATGATTGTGATTTAGACATTCAACAATTTACATATTTATTCATGTGTGTGTATATCAGATTTATATTAACTATTTACTATAATTAATTTTTAATCAATTAATAATGTAACAATCACTTTGGAGTTTTTATCATATTACGAAATTAACAATTCTTGTAGGTACAGCCTTACCATACCCTTATAATTTATTCATTATAGAATTTTAATTTACACAGAAATTTATTTTAGTACAATTGGTTTTAGAGATCTCGCTAATATAAAAAAGCTCTTATCTATCTCGACGAGTCAGTACATTAAAGTTGCTTTAAAAAATAAAAAAAAATAAAAAAAATTTGCACCTGTAATTAAATTTGCTTTAATATGTTTTTTTTTTATCTTTATTATTTATTCATCGCAAACAATATTGTTTACTTTCTGTTTCTATTTAATTTACAAAATATAAGAAGAAAAAAAAAAGTACTTTATTTGTCCAAATCTAATAATTTGCAAAATAAAATCTTGAAATTTTCTTAATAAAAGAAAAAGTGAAAAGCAGACTATTATTAAATGTACCAGATGCAGATGAGCAATTTGTTTATAGTTAATTTTAATGCTTATTGATTTTTTTTTATGAAATATTTGCTTCTCTTTTAATAAATATTTTATTAAAAATCGATTTTTATTTATTTTTAATAAATATTTTGAAGATTTTTTTTATTTAAATTTGCCATTTTACAATAATATTTTACATAGGGTCTGTGTTAATAGGTCCCTCAATAATTTTTTGAAAATTTTATAGGCCGATCATCGCTTTCTACATTAGTAAAATGTAGAGAAAGTATTATTCTCAGAATTATGTTAAAAATTGGATCATTCGAAATTTGTTAAAATATGTGAAATATTCGTGAGGAAGTTTGCGTATATTAACAATATTTATTTATCAATACATACAATGTATAAATTTTTCAAGATATTTTTATTTTAGATCGATATATGTACATAGTAAAATTATTATACAAAATTCATTTCTATCTCTTGATGCCATTTAACTAAAGGAATATCCAGTTTTAATTCAGTTTTCGCGATTATAATAAAATGTTCGGAATGTTTTTAAATAAATTAATAGACCCAGTATAGTTTTATTTAGTAAAAATATTTTATATAATGAAATATGTTTCAAAATCAGGCAACTTTTTCACGGAAACAATTAAAATACTCAAAGGCAATTTATTTCAAATGAAAAAAATTAGTTCATGTCTCAGATACAATAAGGGGAAACTAGTCCATAGTATATGTCAAAATCGGTTAAAATCTATACTTCAGAAAATGTTAAAATGCGATGAATTAGACTATTCATTGTATCTTCTCTCCAATTGTTCCTGCTTCAAAATCAAATATACAAGAGCTTGAAATAATTTTTTAAAAAATAAAAATTTACGATCAAAAAGTTCAAATTTTAATGTCAATTTTTAAAAATTTCCTCTTTTTAAGAAGAAAATAATTGACTTACCTTATTGTTGATCGAAATGATGATGAACACCATAATTTCCCTGAAGATTTCATACAATATTTTGGAATATTGATAAAATTTTTGCTAAACATTTTTTCCATGAAAACACTGAAATAAGAAAATAAATTTTATTGTTCGTAAAAAAAAAAAAATATTTATTTATCTTATTAAGTATTCGATTGTCACTTAATTTTAGTGCGGCTATACAATATAAAGGATTTTATTTCTTATGTAAATAAAAATGATTTTATTTTGGTGAAAAATAATGTACAAATCTAATTTAATATAATTGTATTTTCTCAGTTTACCAAAAAAAATATTAATTATTGACATAGAATTATTGTTAATCTATTAGTTCTATTTAACTATTATATACACATCTAGTATGATGGATTTCCAAAAAAGGAAAAAAAGAATAATCTCTACTTATTTCTATTCTATATATTTTTGTCTAGAAGATGATTATGTTTTCGAAATTTTATCATTTGACGTATATTGAGATTTTTCATTAGAAAAAAAAATGATGTCATAAAATTTGTGTCATAACACAATTTTGCTCTTATAAGCTCTTGATTTTAAATGAGGTGAGAGGAAATTTAATTCGATTCACCGTTTTCTTTCTCAATATTGTATTAATCACAGTAAATATGTTCTATATTATAAAAATAGTTATATAGAAATAGCTGAAAAATTTGTGCTAGAGCGTTAAAGTAAAAATTTTGGTAATTAAGTGATTATAATGAAGAAATTGATTTCATTAAAATTCTATTGTCTTGAAAAAAAAAGAAAAAGCAAAACCACCAATTCCTTCCGTTTAAACTTTGAAAAGTTTTTGTACAAATAGCATAAGATTAAAAATTTTATTAATATTTTAATCTTATCTAAATCATTTTTAATGGATTCAAATGAGTTTTGTTTTTTGTAAGTGTTTTATAATGAGTAATAGTTTAATACAAATTAAGTCATTCATTTTAAAATATTGTGTATTAATGACTGCCACGCCACATCTCTAATATTATAATAATGAATTTTTTTTGAATTTAAAGAACAAAACTGTAGTAAGTAATTTGACAAGCATTAGGCTTTCAACAAATAATATCAAAATACTAAGGGTATTAAAAAATAAAATAAATCATTGTTTGCCGCCTTGCATCTCTTTTTAATAATTATTCTAATTTTGACATTCAAAAGATGCTTTTTTATTGTCAAATATTGAAAATCAATTTTTGTGTTTTAAATGTCAAAATTATTTGATATTTGTCTTTGACATCTTTGATTGAAACAAAGTGCAAAGCGCAAAAATTATTTATCAAAATTCCGTACAGTCTTTCATAGTACTGAAATAGCCTTATATGTCGTATTAAATACCAAATCCGTATTATATCCGAAAAATGCAAGTATAACATAATTTAATAAAGTAAAAAACGAGTTTCATTGTCAAGCAGTTTTTGTCACAATATATAGATAAGACACATACGAGTACATGTATAAATATTTTTAATAATTATGAATAATTTGCTCCATATTTAGAATTTAATACAAATTTTTTGTCTTATATTTAATATAAATGCATATTGAAAGAAAGTTTTACTACATATACAATATATTATACATACTTGAATAATAATTGAATATAATTTTTATCATTTGTGACACTACAATTATAATCTTTTCTTATCTAATCAGAAAAAGTATTATACGTGATAAATTTTACATATTTTGAATTTTTGCAATATCTCTAAAAAGAAAATAGATTTTTTCTTTTTGTTTTTTTTTATTAATATTCATTAATATTATTTTTAAAAATTTTAAATAGAAAATTAATTTAAAAAATGTAGGTATGCAAAATTTAATGAAAATCATGTGCAATATGAGTGCAAATTTAGAATGTGAAATGTTGAAAATATCAAATTTAATTTTTTTTTTTTGAATAATAAAATTGGACGTGACTTTCGATTCTATATTTAAAATTTAAGATATAAAAATTTTTTTTAACAGAACAGACAATTAAGTAAAAATTAGAGAATTTGCACAAAATTAAAACAAGTAAAATTTTCAAATTTAATAAAATTTGCAAATTAAACAAAAAGTTTATTAGAAAACATTCATATTATTTAAAATGTATTGAAGCAAAAATTTAGTTTCTTTCATTAAATTATTGGAGATTTCTTGTCACTGATATTTTAGTAAACTATATTCACTCTTCGACACCTTCCTATAAGGTACTATTTTATTCACAAAATATTTTCAATAAATAAGACCTTATCTAAGGTCCTGTTTCCTTACAACATATACTTGAAATTATTGAAAAGATAGGCCTCGTAGAAGTATTCTAAGGGAGGGGTGGGGGGGGTGTGGGAGACTGGGTACAATAAGTTGTATCAATCATGACTCGGAGTGCAATAGCATCCTATAATGTTACATAAGGAATCTAAACATATTCTTCATACAATGTTATTGGTATGCTTGCAAAATTTTTTCCTATTTCCATATAAAATATGAAAATGAGAATTTTGCATTCTTATTTTGATAATTCTAATATATTGTATGTGTATATGATATTATATTAATTTTAACTTCTGCATAGACAACAAAGTATTCCTAATACTCAAATATTATTCATTTAATTTTATTTAGTAAAGAATTTATTTGAAAATGATCTCTATTTCACTAATATTCTAATTAATTTTTATAATATTAAGTTCAATATTAATTCAATAACTCGTGTTGGAATTATGGGTGGAGGGGCTTTTTTTTTAATTTTATTTTACTTTTAATAGAAATTTTAAAATTTTTTGCTTATTAAAGACACTATATATGATTTCTCTTTCATATTCTTTAATTTAAATTAATTATATTTGCTTTCGATACGCGTATGTACCTTTTTCAAAAAATAATATAAACATGTTATTGATTAAAGTGAAAATTACGTATAAAATAAACAAAATTTTGTTTAGATTATTCAAAATTGTCATAATTTACGTAAGCAACAATCTTTATTAATATACAATCAATTTTCATTTTTAATAACAAAAAATTGATTTTTTAAATTAAAAAATAATAATAGTTAGAATTTAATTTTCCTCTTTATAAACATGAGAGAAGAAAGTTTTCTAAAATCAATAATAATATTTTGATCAAAATATTGTTATACAAACAAAAATTATTATTTCTGCGATTGTTATATACAAATTTTGATTCATCTTCATTAATTTAAAGTTAATATTTTGTTTTTCAAATATTTGAATTAAATATAAAACCTATAAATTATAATAAAATTATTGTTCGCTTGTTGGCTGCCACTCTGACATAACTCAAAATTTTGTAAATTTGAGAAAAACGAATTTTATAGTTTTCGGAATTAATATATTTTTCTTGTTATTGCATTATTTTATATTTTATCGTAAATAACAATATTCAAACTATAGAGAAATTAAGTTTCAGGCTCTTATTTTTTTTATAAATAATTCAGAAATCGTATTTTTTTTTAGTTATGTCATTATTGCAGCGAATGAGCGGTTTTATCAAACAATATAACAAAAAAATATTGCTTTCATATAGCGATAGGAATTTAATTTGGATCTCATGTTTTTTTTTTGTATAACCAACACGTTTTTTAATTTTTTTTTTTTAAATAATTTATTAAATAGCACGAGGTGTATGTAGGGGGGGAAACGGAGCTATTACTATTACTATATACTTACTATTAAAATTGCGGAAAATTAAGAAAAAATATTTTATATTTATAAATCAATTAATAGTTATGGTAATTAAATTAAATCAATATTTTTTTATTTTTTGCATTTTGCAAAATATTAATTAAGAAAAATTTGAAATGTTGTTTGTATTTTATAATATCGATTGTATATATGTATATGTGCTGTGTACTTGAAAAACGTCATGGCAAATATTCACAAAGAAAAAATAATTTAATTTTTATAAAAATGTAATTAAGTTGTTTATGTTAAAAAAAAAAAATACTCTCAAGTAGTCAAATATGTTGTATACACAGGGGACTACAGAATTTTGATCTACTACTCGTATATACACAAATAGACTCATATACGAGTACCATTGATAATATTTATTATTATACTGTGGTATACCGGTAGAGTAGATGTTTATCAACAATATTTTTTTATTTAATAGGTAGTTATATAGAAATTTTCCATCAGACAAATTTATTCAAATTTTTTGAAAAATTTTTTTTTTTTCAAAAATATTTCAATTAATTTAATTATTAAATTATTTAAATAATACATACATATATCGAGTATATTGTTTGCCTCTAATGTGATAATAGAAAAATCAATGGAAATATTTACATTTTAAGTGTGTATATAAAATTTTACAATATTTAAGCAATCACAAAAAATACTAAGTAAATTTGGTAATAGTAAGGTGAATAAATTTATTATGTGTAGGTGTATGTAGACAAATATTTAACTGATACCATACAGACGTTAAAGGAAAATAGGTAAATATTATTGATAAAATTTCCAAAAAAAAATTTATAATAACTTGTTTAATGTTTTTGATTTCTTTTTAATTTAATAAACAAAACAAATGCTAATAATTTTATTTACAAAGCATATTGTTACAAACTAAATTAATAATTGAATGTCAATTGAATTTTTGACCCTAAACTAAATATAACAAAAAAAAAAAACGTGTTATTAATAAAAATATTTTCAAAAACTTGTTGTTTTTAGTTAATATAACACTTAGTATGTAAAATTTTTTGATATTATTCATGGAAAGAAATATTAAGCTAAGGCCCTCAATAAGGAAATGTAAAATAATGAAATTAATTTATTGAGATGAAAATATTAAAGTAACTAACCTAAAATATACATATATAATTTTCCGGGAAAATCATCCATTTAAGAATTGTGTGAATAACTTTAGAGATTTCCTGTTTACATTACAAAAAAATTCATATGAAATATCAATTTTGATTACAATTTTACACTGTTATACAATTTTAGTTTTATTAAATTAAACAAATTCACGGTAAATCTTCATTTAGTATTCACAATCTTTACTATAATCAAGTATAACAGTTTTTTAATTTCAAGTATAACAGTTTCTTAATCAACTATAACAGA